ACTGACTGAAGGCTTTGACCACAGGTGACCCACGCTCACTGTTTTTGTCACATACGGATTTCATGACATGAGTAAATATAGAGAACACATGGGGCGAAGTGTAGGTCTGGAGATTTGATAGAAAACGGAAATAAAAATTGATGAAACTTACCATGTGGCAAATTGTTTTTGTCCTCAATGTGTACGTCTACATAAAGTTTCGCCAAAAATAGTCTCCTTCATCATTCCTTTGCTATGTAGAACTAAACTTCCCCCCATATGTTCTCTATATTTACTCATGTTATGAAAGCCATACGTGAAACAAACAGCGAGCCTGGGTAACCTATGGTCTGACACCCTGAATTTGCATTTTACAGGACAAAACTAGAGAAAAAAAAAACCTCCTGCAACTCCTCTATTCAGCCCCTAGGAGTCTAATATTTTTAGTGCCCCTGGACTATACAAGCCTGTGAAGCGCACACATATCTCCCGTCCTCTCTTCTCTCCCTCCAAGAGAGCGAAGAAACAGATGACCGGAAATACATCTGCGCTTCGCGGGAAAGGACTATAGTGGCTAGCCTGGAGAGCATCTGGTTTTTTCTGCTCAAGTTTCTAGTTTCACCTGCCGAGAAAAACCGTTCTTCTCGGCGGGTGAAACTAGAAACTTGAGCCGAAAAAACCGGATGCTCTCGCAGGCTATATAGTGGCTTATTGAAATGAAAGAATGGTGAGTCAACTATTATTTTAAAGAGGGTTGTGTTAAACGGGCGGCCCAGTAACAAATCTGTAGGCTATAAATAAAGGAACTACAGTGCCCTGTGCCTATAGGACACTGCTGTTTCTTTTCGGGTAAAATGGATACTAAAATAACACGCAAGTGACTTATCATCAAACCTTGAGAGGTATATTATAAATAATGGAACACACTTTCCAGACTCACGACCAAATAAAACTGCGTACCTGCCTTTTACAAAAAAGGTGGTAGACCAGGATGCCACTATACTAACACGGGGGACATTCAAAGCCAAGGGATATAATAATGACGACTTGGAAATAAGCTTACAATAAGAAGAGTTCTGTGGAGGCTCTTGGTCACCTTCAAAAATAATAGTTGCATAAAACCATTGTATCCAAATCCATAACCTTCGAAGTCCCCCTCAGAGTTTATTTTGCGCTTTAGCGAAGCGTTTCCTTCTGTTTCAGTCGTGAAAATGTTTGACATTTCTTTCCCGCTTTCCGCCATTTTGTTTGCGAAGCGTCCTCGCCTCATTTATGCAGGCCTGGCTACAAAGCATATCCATGGAAAATGTAAATGATGACATATTTGAACGGTTGATATCTTTTTTGTTTTGGTGTGAAATTTCCACAGTTGAAAAGGTATTTTTGTCCATTTTTAGCGCATTTGGGATTTCGGTGGCTAGTTTCTTCAAGCTAAATGGGATTTGTGTGGTCATCCGCGTTAAATTTAACAGAAGAAGAGTTTAAATATATAGCATGATGTGAATGCTCGGTCAGTTGAATGAAACCTAACGGTTTTACAGAGAAATACAGAGTTGTAAGTGTTTCTACAAAACACGAAAATATGGCTAGCAAAAGAACACTTGTGAAACAAAAGGTGACTTATGGATCCGTGGGAGATGAGAATTTACACGACAGTGACGATGACTTATCTGGAAAAAGATCCATAACAAAGCGCGTGTCGTTTGAAAGTCATGAGCTTAGTGACTCGGATTCTGACGCCGAAAACTCCCTTGGAAGGATAAATCGTCGCACTGCGCGAGCTAGAGATTCCCTTGATGGGTTGTTTAGAGAAACAAGCATAAAAGAAGGGGAAGACCATGCGGGGTTGATCAAAGGAATTTTAGGAGAAAGCCAGTCTTCGACCACAAAAGACAAAGGTACAGTGTATACAGCATAGAAATTAAGTTTAACTGGACACATGCACGAGTCAAGGATGACTGTCCTTGTTATCACCAATTAGAAGTAATAAAAGCTTACACGATTCGCCTTTAGACGGAGGCGGTCTTAATTTGGGAGAAGTAGCTTGGGTAATAATATTTGAATATAGTCATAATAGTATAGTTTGTTTAAAAAACAGAGTGATCAAATTCAAACGCAGGGCGCCCACACAAACTCATTGACCGTTAAAGGAAATGTATTGGAATATAATAAGGTTCACATTATCATGGTATAATGCGATGAATTCTTATTTATATTAAAGATAATAATATGTCTTTTTACCGTGAAATGTTGTGTATTGTTGTTCGTGCGTTTGAAAATGGCAAATTATAGCAATTTGAAGGGTTTAACATTCTATGTTTACCTGAGAGTATTTGCTGCCTTCAGTCGTGAAAATGACAACACACAACATTTCAGGTAAAAAGACCTTTATTTTAATCTCATATATAAGAATTCATCTCATTATACCACGACAATATGAACGTTATTTTATTCACAAACATTTCCTTTAAGTTCAAACATCGAAATGATTTCCCGGTTTGTATGGGCCTCCTAGCTGCGAATTCAAATACTGAAATGAGCTTTTTGCTTACATGCACTATCCTTTTACTCCATCTAGGAGAGCCAAAACCTGTTGCTAGATCTCGATCTCGTCCACCAATTTCACCTCGGCGGACTCATTTTGAAGCAAGTCATTCGGTAGCTACATCACAAGTGTCCTCAGATGAAGATAATGTGACTTCTGGAAAATGGCCTGCCAGAGCAAAAGAAAAAACTCCTGTTGCTCCCCCTAGGACATCACCACGGCAGTTACAAGAAAAGAGCTTGTCATCTGACATGTATTCTTCGCAAGGTGTACCAAAAACAAAGCCTCCCTTGTCATCTAGGAAGGGAGAAATGAAGTCATTTGATGGAGATCATGAATATGATGAATACAAAACAGGAAAGGTTTCTAAGGATGATCATGAATTTCGATATGATAGGAGTAAAAATGTAGCAGAAAAACCCATGGTTCCTGTCAGGAGAAAGAAGACACTCGAAGTAGACTCTGAGGGAGATGTTGAAGTTTATGACACTGAACGAAAGAAAAATTCAAGTGAAGAAAAACCTACAGCCCCTTCAAGGAGAAAAATGACTCTTGAAGAAACACAGGAGAGCTACGTAGAGAAAGACAACAGAGATTATGACTATCAAAGGACTAAAAACATACCAGAAAAACCAATAACGCCTCAAAGGAGGAAAAAACCTTTTGATGAAACAAGTGAAATACAATATTCTAGACCACAGATTCCCATGATTAAAACTTCAACGTTTGAGGATGACAGCCCCTATACAGAAAATGATAGAACAGCTGTTGACTATGATGGAAATTTAAGAATGCCTAAGAAATTAAATAATGGTCGACCCATTGTTTCACGAATTAGGGTAGATTCTTCTGAAGAAATTGAGGAAGAACTGGACTCAGGAAAAGTTTTGTACAGAAAAGAATCCTATGGTAGTGAAAACTATGCTAATGATTATGATTTAATACGTGGTAAAGTGGTGGAAAATGTGACTGAACAGTCTGCAATCACTGCACCAAAACCATCACCTCGCATTCGTTCAAATGTTAAAAGCTCTACGTCAAGGCAGCCTCAGTTAGAAGAAGAAGTTAAGCAGGCAAAGCGACCAGGAAGTGCACCTGCAATCAAAAAGGCATCCAGTCTTGAAACTCTCTCCTCACAGCAGGATTCAAGGAGGGGATCTTCTGGGGTGCAAGAACAAGAGGCCCGAAAGGTGCAGTTAAAAAAGAGCCTTACCCCTCAGAGGCCCACTAGTGGAAAGAAAATCTCTTTGCTGGCTCAGCTGCGGCAAGAGGCTAGAGCTGACATAACAGATACATTTGAGGAACATGTTCCTTCAAAAGAAAATATTTTTGAGACTGGCTCAGGTCATGGTGACTTTTATAGTAGAAGGGGTGATACAGGTAATACTAAGAAGAAGAAATGACAATTATAGTAAATGTAAAGGAAGATGTGACAGTTGAAATTGTAAATTATTGCATTTACAAAGTTCGTGTTACTGCAGCACTACACAGATGCCATGGGTTTGAATCCCATTAGAGCGCAATTTTTTTTTTTAAGGTCGGGAGGGGGGTGGGGGAGGAGGTTGGTTAGGGGGCTGGGGGGGCTTAGTTTGCAATAATTGCAAATTGTAAGTTGTGATTACAACTACAACTGTCATTATCTTCATTTGTATTTCTGGAGTTCATGTAATCTTCATTCTGGACTAAATTTGTACAGGAAAGGTTACTTTTAATTAACTTAAATTAATCATTAATAGAGCACATTTCCACACCTACATAAAGTTTGGTTAAACTCATCAACAGAGATACACTGTAAGTAAGGGGGGAAGTGCCTTTGAGGCTGGTAGAGCCCTGAATTGTACCTGAGTGCGATGTGTAACCATGATGACCCTGAGAGTGGTATCCACCCAGGCAATTCCAGGTGCTTACTAGTGGAACCTACATGCAACAAACTAAACATACACTTGTCGTACTAGTAAGGGGGGAGGGTAGGGAACAGAAAAACACTTAACAAACTCAAGCCATGACACTGGCAGTGATACACAGACGTAATGGCCCGACCTCAAGAGAAAGGCAGTCAAAAAATAATTATTATAACAAAACAGAGCAAAAAAAACAACAACAACAACAATAAAACATGAGCCCCTGAAAAGCGATTAGGGCACCCCCGCATATCTCCAATGAGATACTACTGACTAGCCATGTCTTGAGCGTTCATTTAGTAACGTTAACATGTAACAGAAATTTTCATATCATTGATTGCAGTTGATTCTAGAGCCTGGGAAACACCAAAGCCTCAAAGGTCAGGACCATTGAAAGCCAACCATAGTATTGATATGATAACCAGATCACAACAGCACAAAGAGATACAACACACAGACCACACAAAAGGAGGTTCATGCAGAGGGTCTGATACACCAAAGAGATCTTCTTCCATGACAAATTTGAGGGACACCAGCCCTGAGCCATGGGGTGGAGACAGTGCAAGAAGCTCACAGTATGGCGAATTAATGGACACTGCATCAATACGCCAGGCAGTGTTTGATGAGTGGCAGAGAAGAAAAAGTGCAAAGCTGAAGGAAAATATGGTTAGCAGGTCTTCTGAGAAAAAGAAGCAAGAAGAAAAGGAAAAGGAAGAACGTGAGCGGAAAAAACTGGTAAAGTTCTTAGCCTTTAGCAGTCTTACTGTAATTATGTGTATTTGCTGTTAGTCAGGCTGAACCAAGTCAATTTGTGGGCCAGTCATAATCATACAGAGAGACTAAACAATGCATTAAACCAATCGGAAATTGAATCCAGTGACTGGCGCTAGGCTTGGAATACGATACAACAGTTTCTCTACTGGCTATTCTTCAGATTCACCCCGTGTAAGGGCATACGTATTCCGGGGAAATTTTGCTTGTGGAATCCGAAATAGTGAAAAAAGTTGCTTAGTAGAATGCAGAATCCTGGGCTTTGGAATCCAGAATACAGGTCAAGGACTGATCCAGAATCCCACTTACGATTGGAATCCATACTCCAAGTTCCACTGACAGAGAATATGAAATCAGTGGGTGAGTGGCACCCAGAATCCGGAATCCACAATCCCAGACTGTCTTGGATTCCTTTACATGGGGAGATTCAGATCCTTAAGAGTCTGCATCCTTTCAAATGAGGTGACTCACCGTACTGAACTGTAGTGTAATAATTATAGTCAACATTCAGTTGCCTGTGCTCAATCATTTTTCTTCGTTCAAAAGTGACAAAAGGCACATGGACGAGGCTAATGGGTTACCACATTGCAAAATGGCGCTTTTTTCTCATTGGCATGTCCAAACCGCCCATTGTATTTGTCTGACTCCGTCAGATTTTTCAAATTCATTTAACAATTTATGAAACGAACAGAGAATAACGACCATGAAGGGGGTAAATGTAAGAATGGCTCCACCATAATTGCGCATTTCTTGAAATATCAAGAACTAAGTGTGATTGAACTGAGAAGATACATATACGTGTATAGTGGTGTCTAAAGAAGGTTTTGTCTCTGCGTCCAGGCCGGGAAATATGGTTGCGAAAACTTTTCTGTGCTTATGGCCTATTCTTTTTTATCCTCTTTTGTCGTACGTAAGAAAACTGAAAATGACATTGTTGCCTTTTCATCAGGCAAAAAGAGCATTCGAATCCTGGAATGAAATGAAACAAGAAAAGAGTAAAGAGGAAAATGCGAAGAAAAAGGAGGTAATGAAAAAAGAACTTGAAAAACAAACCGAGAAGAATCTGAAAGCTAGGGATGCCAAGAAGTACTTTGAGTCGTGGAAAGCAAAGAAAGATGAAGAACTTAAAGAACAGCATCATAAGAAAACAAAGGAAGGAAGAGAAAAGAAGAGGAAAGAGGAAGAGGAGAAGACAGATAAAAGTAAAATTGCACAGAAAAGTTTTGACAATTGGTAAGTGCCCGATTTTAACCTAAAGAAGTTTCAGCGTTGAGTTTCAGCGTTGAAATTATTAACGCGCGCATACACAGGATAAAGTTGTACGAGATGTTTGGATGGGGACTTGAATGTCTGTGCAACCCCTTTACCCCATTCTCTGGCCTTTTCAACTCAGCCTATACAGCTGTACTTTGTGTTTGAGATGCATGTACATGTACTTCCCCTTCCTTCATTGTATTTGAGTGGAATGTTGTTTATTCTTAAGGAAATTCATCATTTAGGGTGGAAAGTAGTCGAAATTAATGCGTGAATTTGGAACATATCATTGTGTGCAAGAACAGAAAAACTATTATTGTTATGGTCCGATTGGGAAACAAGTGAAATGCATGTGCAGGTAGTTGGGCAAAAAAGCCGTAAGTTTGAAAGATCGATACATTAAGAAAAGCATACACATCAGAGCGAACGCACCAACCATGAACAGGGATGAGGGAGCATATATGTACCAATTATCTTCTAAGGATCTTTATGTGGACCCAAATGATCTCCAGCCCCCAACAAGTGGGTATGGGGCCGTCAACACAGGCTTAGCACGCTGAATGAGGCCACACTAGTTTTGAGAAAGATGGCTGACGGCACATATTAAAACTGTCAACATCTGTAAAGAACAAATAAATTTTGGCCCTGTCAAAAGAATCTGTCTATTCAATCTTTTACGTTGTTTATCGCAGGAAAAAGAACAAAGATGACAAAATCAAAGAGGAGTCGAAGAAAAAGAGGAAAGAGGAGAAAGAGAGTACTTTAAAGCAGGAAGATGAGAATTACGAGAGAAGCATTCAGTCCGCAGAGCGCTATCAAGAATGGGTGGAAAAAAAGGGAAAGCCAAGGAGAGGTCCCCCGCCACCCACATTGACTCAAAGGTATCATCCATACATGCACAGTGTATGTGCACACTCTGCAGGCTGTTTATCCTGACCTTGACTAAATCAGTCTATAGTACTAAAAAAAAAACCGTCGCCAAAGACTGAAACAGATACCGTAAAATGCCGAAAATAAGCCCTGGGGCTTATGTTTTTCAAAGGCCCTTTTGGAGGGGCTTATCTACGGAGGGAAATTTGCGTTTCAAAATCGATTGGGCTAGCTTATAGTTTAAAGGAAATTTACCGTTTTTGCTTTGTTTGACTTTGTGTTAGAGGGCACTTTCCAAGTACAAGCCCCTGGGTGGGGGCTTATATTTGGAGGGGCGATTTATCGGAGGGTGTTTTGCGTTTCAAGTTTGGGGGGCTTATATTTGGAGGGGCGATTTATCGGAGGGTGTTTTGCGTTACAAGTTTGGGGCCTTATAAATGGAGGGGCTTATTTTCGGAATTTTACGGTAATTATATCAAGAGAGGATTGACGAAAGTTTAATTCATTGTACTCTAATTTAAATGCTTGGAACATTCTGACCGAGATAAGAGGACTGCACTTGTTTAGCCGGTTCCAGGCTCTCATATAGTAGGTATAACGCGTGAAAGGCACGCTTAAATATGAGCCCTAGATCTGGGAAAAGGGGGCGGTGGCGGGAAAAATTTCCACTGGGACGACCCGAAAATCGTGTTCCATTTACTTTCCTCCAATCGAAATTTCCGGAACGTTTGGTTAACTCATTTTAGGTTGATCGAGCGTTCATTTAAGACAAAGAATATGGGTACTTGTCTTAACTATGACAAATACCGTACAATGGCCATGCATAATTCAATGTTTATCATATTCGCTACAGGAGCTGGTGTCCGAGTGGTAGAAATTCAGGCAATTGCATTCCAGGCAAAGTTGGTGCTGTGATTCAGGCGCCCGCTCCAAACAGATCGCGAACCATGTCAGGATCATACTACTTTAAGACAAATAAGGTACTTCTGTCTAACTACTTTAATAGCCGTGTGGCGGGTGCTAATAACGAATACGTAGCTTCTTCCGCTTCACGCAAGCTAGAAAACCCCCTTTGCGTACGTTTTGTGAAACTGACTTTGTCTCGATTGGGGCGTGTCACAAAGGCAAGCGAAGAAAAAAGTATTTGGGGGGATATCGAGCCTAGGTTTGGGGGGGGGGGGTCAATAAAGAGGTCCTTTTCCTCTTTCTCATTCAGACACGTAATTCAGATACTGCCATTTTTGGGATAACCATCGACTGGGATTTAGACCCCGATCGTCGGGACACTCGTACTAAACAAGCATAACAGCGCTTGAAGTCAGCGAAGGGGGAGCGTTCTGAGATTCCATAGTCTCACGTGTTTTGTAAAGGGTTAGCCAAGGTTGTATGAAAGTAAAATAAGAATGTCTCTGTATCCTTTACGTCATTGTAAAATCCATTTCGTTGTTTTTCAGTTTTAAAATACGATTCACGTTAACAAGAAGGACACTGGATAGCTAGACAGCATGTCTGCTACGGATATCTCTTGAGTTCGTGCAATTTCATTGTTTTTGAAGACGAACTATAGTGATGTCTTAATAATTTCTCCCCACCTGTAGTGTAAAAACCCACTTATAAGAATCTAGAACAGGTTCTTATATTTTAGGGTGGTTTTTCACAGTTCAGGCTGATTAGGTTCTTAAAAGGTTCTTATTTTTCAGAGGTTGTCATAGGGTAGCCATTGGCAAAAATATTAGAAATATTGTACTACTGAATACATAATGGCAAACAATCAAGGTCCAAGAAGAACATCAACACATTTCTATATTTTTTTAAAATAAGATATTAAGATTTTAAATCGTCTATATTGCAAGGTAGCTTTTCGGAAAACATACTTCTTGTGAAAATCCAAACAAATGTAAATCAAAGAAAACATAACCTTTTTCACACAATTAAAATCGAGAGTTTGTTTTGTCTAAGAACCTATTTTTCTTCGCCAGTTTGATCACGTTCTTATAATTTTTGGGTATGTAAATGCCAAATTTCAGCCTGTTGGTTCTTAAATCACGAGGCTCTTATATTCAGGCTTTTACTGTAATAGTGAATTTTACGGCCTTAAAGGAGAGGACAAAAAAGGGTTAGTTTTAGGTTGCTTTTTATAATACACTATACAATGTAGGTCGTGCTATACCCGATATGGACGATAGCTATTTCAGAAACAAAGTTCCCAGAATAAGGATTCCCAAGCTCATTTTTATTTATTTATTTTTTAAAAAAATTGTGTTCAACTGTACATGGCAAATAACTCTTAACGTGAAACTTACTAAGTCCTACATTCGCAATAGGTAAATTTCCCGCAAAACGTAATTTTTATATGTTGGAGTGTTTAATTAACTTCAGAAAGATTAAAAATAATTCCATTTTAGATTCTTGATAATGATGTTGAATAACCTTACTTTTAATTTTTCTCAGAGTAGATTTGATCTCTCAACCCTACAACCCTATTATGAATTAGCATTTGTGGAAACTTTAACTATATAAACAAAACTTTCCTGCTCTTTCGAAACACCAAATTGCCGCATTAAAATGATACACGTAAACATGTACATGAAATTTAAAATATTTACTGTAAGTATGATATATGATAACATTGTAATGGATATTTACCTCTTTAGTCTTTTTACAAATGACCACCGCTAATACTTTTTGTAACATAAAACAAGGAAATACAATACTATATGTCTTTGGTCGTTTAATCATTGAAAGAAGGTAAAAATTATATTTGAATTGACAGAGAAAACCAACCTCGTTCCCAGGGTTCTCTCCTATCTGTGCCTAGGAGACGGGTAGTAGAGAGAACCTCGGAACGAGGTTGTGAGAAAACACGATGTTTGGCTGCATTTTGGAAAAATCAGCAGCATAGGACAATACTAAACTTGCATTAATTGCCCACGTTCGATATGTTAAAAATTCTATTATGACTCCAAGGCTTAAGGGACAAAATTGCAAATTTTTCACGACTCCATTGTCTCGCAATTCCCAGAAGAGACCTGAGCACAAAGAAATCCAAACCACAAGGTCAAATGTAGAAAAATGACCAGAAAGCCTCGGAGTCATCTTAGTTTCCACCGTTGAATCAAAATACCGTAAAATTCCGAAAATAAGCCCCTCCAAATATAAGCCCCCCAAAATCGTAACGCAAAACACCCTCCGTTAAATTGCCCCTCCGAATATAAGCCCCCCGGGGGGCTTGTACTTGGAATTTACCCTCGAATACAAAATAAAAGAAAGCAAAAATGGTAAATTTCCTTTCCGCTACAAGCTAGCCCAACCGATTTTATAACGCAAATTTCCCTCCGTCCATAAGCCCCTCCGAATATAGGCCCCTCCAAAAATAAGCCCCTCAAAAAGGGCCTTTGAAAAATATAAGCCCCGGGGCTCATTTTCGGAATTTTACGGTAAAGGCATCCATACACCCGGCACGTTTTCGTCCAACTTGCAAACAAAGTCCCAATCCAATATTTCCTATAGCACGAGAAAAATGCGGCCTTCTGGCAACCGTTGCCAAAAGAAGAAATTGGGTTATCGTGTCGTGTAAACGAAAACGCAGCAAGAGGCGTTGTTGAAACTTTTCATGCAATCAGGGCCCAACAAAACTGCGAGACAAGTACGGCGAGAGGAGGCTACTGTCAAAAACGAAGTCTTTAAAGCTACGGTAAAACGGGTAATGTGCAACTTCTTTTGCAAAATTGATACGAAACAAGTTGAAATACTACGTTAGGCCCTTTACCACCTCTGTTCAAACCTGTCTTGCAACAAATCAGGTTGCTGCAATTTGCGCGAATACGGACTTTTGATTGGATAAAATTACGCAATTGTAACGTCACTTGCTAAAAAACAAGTTTGCCTTGGACCGGTAAACGCGCAACATGTACAGATTTTATTGCAAAAAGTAGACCTACTCTGTACTTTCTGCAACAACTTTTCGTAACATGCAACAACCTTATTAATTTTGTTGCAAGACAAGTTTGATTGATGACTGGTGAAACGCGCAACGCTGCTTTGCAGCAATGTTGTAAAGTTGCACGTGTTTTTTTTTTTTTTGGGTTGAACGTTTTAGATAAACAATAACAGCTACCATTTCGAAATTCTTTCAAGACAAGTGGCAAAACAAACACAAAGCAAAAAAATTAGGATCAATTTAGGTTTCTGGGAAACTGCCCACCTACCCCTTCCCCAAGCCAACATTAACACTTACTTCTCGTTGGCTTAGGGGAGGGGTGGGCGAGCAGTTTCCCAGAAACCTAAACTGATCCAAAACCTCCACCCTGAGAGCAGAGCCTCCTTTTGTCTTCTTGAGTGAGAAAAAGAAAAGGATGCTCCGCCTGAATAACCTTTGAAGTCGCCCCAGCCCGAACTTCTTCACTGGTCAATCTTGTTCTTTTTCGTCAAATTGTTTTTTTCGAGTGTGTGCATCCGTTTATTGATAAACCGATGGTCGTAACCGAGCTAGTCCAGTTCTGGCACATCTCACGCAACGTCGGGATTGCGTGACATAGAGAGACAGGGGCCAGAACTGGACTTTAACCGAGCCCGCTGAAGCAAGCACACAGCTATTAGGCCTGGGTTTGAAACTCTCTCCTAGCAACATGCCGCGCATACTCAACAAAGGTCTAATGCGATTTATGCAGAGTCTTTCTCGAGTACGCCAAAACTGAACAAACCAAAGAAGGCCCCGCTGGCAACGTGAAAAACAACAACAAGAACAAAGCAAAAAGAAAAATGCAATACAATCATATTTAGCGCTAATTTTCCGGGCCACAATCCATCATATCCTGCTCTCCTACAGCATTCTCCTCCTCTTCGTTGCCAAATTTCTCCTCCCTGTCTTTAAGTAATTCTATTTCCAATTTCGAGCTCTCGTACTCGAAAAAACTGGCTATATGGTGCTGTCAAATGAAACATGAATGATTAGATCGATGATAGAAGTGAAAAAAGGTAAATAAAATGAGAAAAGGAAACGATCATTTGCCCGCGAACCAAAGTCGGGTCAATAGCGAGCTTTTTCCTGTTCATGACAAAACCTTATCGGGTGACAGCATTTACTGTGCAATAATGGCTGTGCTACAGTAGACGGCAAAAACAATCCAGACGACAATTTTTAACTACCCTGGCAACAACTGGTTTACGCAAGCACTGTTTTTGATAAATGAGCGACTTTTGAGTGTTTCCACGTCAGTGTAATAATGGCTAGATGTGAGTGTGAGGTGTTCAGATTGAAGATGATAATGTCCTGTTTTAATTCTTCAGTATTTCGTTCCAGTAAAAGGTTCATTTTTGTACTATGTCCATGTCTGTGTAAGTCAGTCAGTCTGTCCGTCCGTCCGTAAAGATATTTCTATTGTCCTCCCAGCGACAGGCGTTAAAGCTTAACCTTCGGATCCGAAGGTACCGGTTTCGATAACTGCTACCACCCTTTTTTCCCCGACGAATTTAATAGACTTTTTTTATAAGCCTAACAATTTAATATTATAAAAGTACATTAATCATTTCGAAGATAAATCGATTAAAAGAAATAAATTTGTAAGAAGTTAGTCACAGTCAAGATCCGCGTTCGATCGATAGTCGATGGCGCCTTTTCTTTTCGAGAATTTTGCTAACGCTGCAGAGACTGAGAGAGTTAGGGCGAGTCAAAAAATTATCCCAAGGGACAGGGAAGGGAAGCATTGGCATAGAGTGTCTGCGACGCAGACATTGTAGCTCTGCAGGGTAACGAAGACATTAATTCACCCGTGCTATAACGTTTCTACCACGTCTTCCACGTCTTCATCATTATAAAGGCCCATTTCCTTTGACCCCACAGGCAGTGGAGTGGTTCGAAGGGTATAAAAAAATACACCTTATTCACGATACCCACCATCTTTGCATTTTTGCACGCGTATACGGACTAATGGGATAAAAGAAGTTTCGCTTGGTGGGAGGGGGGTGGTAGAAGTGGTCATTGTTATTTTACACGACCTCATAGCGAGCAATAATGACTTGTCGAACCTCGAACTGTCCTTTTTGCAAAAACTAATAATTGTCGTTGTCACGTTTTGATGGAACAAAACAAACTCGACCACGTTTACTCGTTTTGACAAATTTTAACCGTCGTTTGCCCCCTGGAATACCACGTGACGTCGCTTTTATCCCTTCATCCCGAAGGCGCGTGTCAAGTTGGCGAGCATCGTGAATAGTGTCCTTTTATACGCCCCTACCACATTTCCCATAATGCACCTTATTTGCACCTCAAAATTTTGTATAACCTTTGTTTCTCACTTCTCCTGGGTATCACAGCCGTCCCAAGAGAAATTGAAAACACTGCTTATGCAAAATTTTGGGGAGCAAATAAGGTGCATTATGGGAAATGTGGAAGTGGTGTACAGGGGGAACTGCGACTCGAACCGCAGGGAATCCACTCGCTAGTAGCTTAACTCGGATTTGAAGCCTGAAGCAACTCCTGAGATGCTACTAAATGCCAGTGGTGCTAAAACAGATAGTTTGACTTCGCATACTAACTCCTTCCCTCCCTCTGGCACTATGTAACTGATATCTATTTATACACCATACGTCCAGACCAGGCCAGATTTGAACCCTGAACTACAGATGGCCAGTCCAAAGTGATAAGGGAGCGCCGCTATTACTTAGATTCTTTGCTTGTAGCTCCACTGAGCGAGGGTCCCGTGAATTCCCTGTATTTTGGTTCCAGTATTAATTGCACTGGGTGGGGACAGACGTAAGACTGGTATTAAGACTCGAACATTACACAACTTAGGCGCCGAATCTTAGTTGCTAAGGTTTTATTCCAAAGGGACGATCGATTTGGGCGATCAAACCCACCCTAAAAGAATACCTGTCGGTGCAAAACGTAGTGAACTGTCGGAAGTGACAACCTTTGTCTATTTTAACGTTGGAAACAAACTGATTAAAACGCCACTCGTCTGCCGTATTAGCCTTCGGTCAGTACCCTTTTGATTTTTGTGATTTTTTTTTTTTACTTACTACATACGTGAATGTCGACATGAGGAGAGATCGAGTGGAAAGACGTTTCTAAAAGAAGACGTACTTATCTTTAAGTTAGAAAAAGGGAATAAGGATCTTATTTTAAATAAAAATTCGGGCTACATACCTCTCTTGATGGTTTAATACACTGTGTCATGTAAGCCAGTCGAAGAAGTGTCCTTACTAAGAGATCTTTCACCTGAAGAAATAACAGAGTTTATGGGTAACGTTTTCCACGAAGAAACAAAAGTAATAATACAGGATGCATGTTTTCGTTCTTTCTTACTTTAGTGCTACTTTACCTTGGTTCTGTTCATGAATGCCGCCCTCGGATCTTTGATGTCTCCATTCAATGACCTTAGCTTGTTCGTTAACTTCTCAAGTGGTGCCTTTACATAAGAAAAAATAACAGTGAATTGTATTAATAGACCTTTCCACGGTTTTTTTCAACGTTTGCCATGGGCAAGGTAGGGTAAACCCGTCGACACCACCTTAAAGAGCGTCTTAAAATTAGTAAGATTGTCAAGTTTAAAAGTGATACGTCTTAAGAAAGTGAAGATATAGCTTCGCATAGTTGCGAAATTTACAGACATTTGTATGGTGGGCGCAAGTTTGCCCCACCCCACCATACAAACGTCTGTAAAAATTTCGCGACTTTGAGAAGTTACATCTTCGTAAGTTTGCCACAAATCAATTTCAGACTTGGTAATCTTGTTAATTTAAAGGCACTCTTTCCAGTGGAGTCGACGGATTTTCCCTAACTTAACCAGGTGAAGAGTTGGAAAAAAAACCGTGCAACGGTCTATTCAGCAAATGAGAGGTTATCTTTGTGGTTGCTGTCCTTGATTCCACCATCCTAATGTCCATAAGAGCCGACGGAAAGCCGAAGATTTTTCGAAGTTGAAGTTTTGTAAGTGGATTCCTAACTCGTAAGCGGTTTGTAACAGGCGTTAAAACGACATCTTGTATAGAGCAAATGTTACAAAAACGACGGATTATGCTCGGTTATTATTCGAGTTGCATTTGGCAATGATTACTAACACTTTGCTTCCTTTCCTAAACAGATCCCATTTACGCGCGTCAACTCACGCAGCGTATTATTGAGTCAGTCTGCATTCAAAAATGGAAATTTCTACATTGTAGCACTTAACTAAGCGAAAAAAAAATATAGTTTAAGAATGTCATTTTTTCAACCGTTTAAGCTCATATCTTCTCTCAATCTAAAACTACGTTTAACTTTTTATATAGCCTAATTCCAGTAGCTTCAAAGAAGTAATGCCGATAGTAGGGATTTGTCGCTGAAAAGGGCAACTACTATCCTGCGAACGCAGCGGTTGTTCCAGTTGTCGCTAATCTAGTAACATTTCGGGCAGAGAGAAGCGACACACAGAAATACGTCTGCGCTTAGAAGGCTAAGTGTATAAGTAGAAAAAAAGCTGTAGCCACATCCACTCGCTCAGGTAGCAAACGCTAGATTTTCCCATGATAGGAGTTTACAAATAATATTTAAGTTCTTAGGGTGATGAGCCCGCTCAATGTATTGTTGCATAATCCTTTTATTTATATGGGTAGTTGCTGGTTTTACCCTTCGCGATCAAGTTGTACTGAGAGAAAGAGGGAGTGAACGAATCACTTAGCAATGAAAGAGTTACATCACCATATACTAGAAATGACAGGATGAAAAGAAATTCACAATAAAGAGACTGTGGAAGACAAAAGAAACAGGACAGGAGAAGGGGTTCCGCCTCACATTTACCCTCCCTCAATCATCCCACTCGTCTTAATGCCCCCCTCTGGATGGCTCCACCAGCCCCTCCCCTAGGCCAACATTTTTCTCTAAGGAAAAGTAAGTGTAAATGTTGGCCTAGGGGAGGGGTAGCTTGGCAGGTCCCAGAAATGTATAATGATCCGAAATGGCCATTACCCTCTCCTTTGGTGGTAGGTCTTCACTTCCCACTGCAAGGCTCAACAGTGAAATGATGGTGTGCAACAGAAAATAGTCTGAATCCTCCTTCGGTTTTATTTGTTCTACAAGTTTTACAAGGCTTGAAACCTGCATCAAAATAGACAAATAATAACCTATATCAGTACAACATTACACTGGCAGTGCAATCATAATTTACTAGCAGTAGTTGTACTAGCACTCTCACCTTGGCCAACTACATGTACTTTCTAACAGTGCTATGGCTAGTCGCACAAAAGGTTCCAAGAGACCTTCCGGCCAATGGCAGATGTTCATCTTAGTCAACCCAATGTTACAAGTAGCAGTCAGGCTACATGTACCTTATAGGCTGTACATCATGCTTACTGGAACATTAATTTTCCAGCCATGGTGAGATAAATTTAAATCTAAAAAAAATGCTTGCCTTTGTACATGCTGTTGCTGAAGTTTCCCTTTTTCATTAACATTGACGTTTACTTGATATCGGCAATAATTTCTCGCAACGCGAGGGCACGAAGCACCCTCGCGTACGCGAGTTTGTAATCTTGTCGCGCACGAAGCACGCGAGCAGCGCGTGGGCCCCACATGGTCTTAGCGGCATGCAAAGTCGGTCGGCTATCGGTAAATAACCAGCAATTTCCTTAAATGCAAATGACCAGAACAGCAAACGCGACAACTCTGGATTCAACAAGTGGTTGCAAATCCGTGACGGGGAAGATTTACCACCGACACTCTTCTGGAGCAAGAACGCCAAATTGAAATTCACTGTAAGCAACGAAGAAGACGATGACAGCCAGAAACCCCGCGGCAGAGAGAATATCGCTTTGCCCAGTGAAGAAGAAGCCGTCAACAAGAGACAGAGGACATTTACAGACAGCTAGTGTACAGGGCAGCGACAAAATACCGCAATTACAATGCCAACGTTCGCAAAGAAAGCGATCAGGAAAGGCAATGCTTACTGGAAGTTTACAGTCGAAATTAAGCAACGATAGGTAGCAAGAATTACACGATCTGTTAAATACACGTGAGCGATATCTTGCCAACGGATTGAGCTGAGGATAGACGATCAGCCATTACACCATGACCAACAACGGGTTCAAAAAGTGATCCTTCACAGTAAGCTTACTAAACTCTTTTTTTAATCATAATATTATAATTATAAGAATCTTGTTTTTCCGACCCAGACTGAATATTTTTATTTTCCTATCGATTTTAGGTTGGAAATATTCTTAAATTATTCTAAATTCTAAATTATAGCTTATGGCATTTCGGCTTTACAATAAATCGGGGTCTCACTGACCAGTGTTCTTGCCGTTTAGTGAAAGGAATAATTTTCTACGGTTGACTTAAAAACATAAATTTTACTGTATTTACAGATTTTCAAATACAAAATTGAAACCTTTTTAAATTCTCAGCCTCAGGTTTACTCTCAAAAATTAATATTCTTAAAATTTCATAATTTTTAGCCTCAATATCCTTATAAAATAATTGTTATCGGAAAAAAGAAGTATATGGACAGTCTAGAGGTTCTCCTGGGGTTCTTCGATACATATATTTCTAGTATAATAATTATTGTTGCTTGCCCCTCTAAAGCGTCTATCAGGCAGCACTTTCCCCATGCTCTCCAGGATCTTTTAGGTCCCTACATTATCATTTTTACTACACTCTTTATTTTTACCTCAACAGTGTCTGGTACAGCTACATCACATCTTTCATCATCAGTGCGTCTCCCAGCTTCTTTTTGTTGACCAAACTTCGGCACAAGCCAATGTAGCAGAGTCACGCCCAGAAGACGTTGAAGTTGGATGCCGCGGACTGAAGGAGGCTGGATTTGCACAAGGTGCAACAGGTTTCTATGGTCTGTGCTCAGTTTTGCCATGACTCTGCACAATTCTTTAATCTGAAAGTTGTAACATGTACTAAGATAATATATGAGTGCAAGTAGTTTCCTCCATTCTCCGACGCAAACAAACTATTCTGCCATGACCACGTCGGGGCCCTGAGTTTTAAATCTTATGCAACATTTGTAAATTAATATTGTAGCCCACTTGTTCACTTTCTGCCAGTTGGGTGTCCTAACTTTCTCTTCTCGACTTAAATATAGATTTTTGTTTTTGCTATTGTTTTTGTGTTAAATCTAAAGAGATTTTGTGTTTTATCAAACCGAAGTTGAAATTATCACAAAATATCTCAAATCAGGTAGTAGTTGTGATTCACTGGCAACAGAACTTTTGAAACGTCCAATTCAATCAGTAATCATGTATAATTAAACAAATCAGACTCTAGCTATGCCCTCATCTAATTTTGTTTAATCACTCAAAGGAATGCTTACTGAATCGAATTTTCAATTCACTCAGTCCTGTGACCATTATAACCAATGAAGAGGCTTAACCCTTTAAGCCTCAACAGTGATCAGCACGAAATTTCTCCCTGTAATACCAAAGCTATATGAAACTGAGTGGTCATGAGAATTGAGGACATGTTCACAGTAGATGAATCGAATTGTTGCTTCAGCAAATTCTCCCCACTACTTCTATTGAAAACGTATAAGGGCTGGTCATTTATTACCATCTTGCGGAGGGTAATTTAAAAAATTTTGGTTGGTTTTGGAGTCATTTTCAGAAAAGGAAGCATTATATGGGGGGAAGGTCCTTTAAACACATTTCAGGAAAGTAGTGCAAAGCAGTAACGAGCGTGGAAAAAAATTAAAATTGAATGTAACAGCCGTAAATAGTAAAGACGGATCTTATAAATACGACTGTAGATAAAGTATGTGGCTAACTTCGGCACAATTTGTAGTTAGAATATTTCTATTTTCCACAGCAATCAGGTGGGGGGGGGGGGGGGGAGCACTTTCACAACATGTTAAATTTATGTGGGCATTTCTAAAAATCTACAATAGCATGAATTGGGGGCTATTGGTTTAAAAATCTTCTAAGCATTTTCAAAATGGCCTGCCCCCATCACAGGTACATTGTAATAAACAACCAGCCTCATAGGGACAGCAAAATTAAATTCAAATTTGAATTTTGATACTAGGGTTAATGCCATACCTCATCAGGCCACTGCATCTCTCCAAAACAGTTCAGCACAGCTGCCAGGCACATCTCAATATCAAACACCACTGTTTGAAGCCTAACATCCAATGCTAAACGACACAACAACACTGCAAGGTTTTGCAGCTCCTGGACTACATAACAACGAGGACACTTTTGAAGACAATGTGTGAGAAACTGCACAAGATGCATTATGTTCACAAGAGGAAAGCGTTCAGTCTGGGGTTTGCCACTACCAGTCACATCTTCCATGTCTTCAGAGGATGAATCTGACAAAATTTCCTTGATGTTTAGTTGGGTAACAAGATCTCCAGGAAAGAGTCTAGGGACCCTTGCACCTAATGAAAGTAACTCTTTTATAACCTTTTTGACACTTGGCACCCATGATGAGCCTCTTGGGTCTTGGGGAATATCTTCTCGGTTCTGAAAGAGCAGATTCACGGTTAGCCTGTGCCACAGACGAAACTAAACTCTGGTTAAAAGAAATAGCGCCAAAATCCTTGTCCTAGGTCTCCACCTGTATACCAGGATTTGAGTACATGCCGTGATTGGCCTGTTAAAAATGCCATTGTCAAATTTGCCAGTCAAGATGAAAGGGAATTCAAAATGCTCTCCTGGTAATTTGTTGAGTCCGTTGGGAGCCTAGAACTAGGATATCAGCACTGCTTCGCAGACGTTACTAACCGAGGCCAAATAACGTCCGCGATGCTGGCTAATTCACAGTTTGATGATGATGAAACCGCAGATATTAATGAAATCAATAAAACCTCTTACACTGTTTGACCTTTTCAGAAAATTTTAATTTGTACTCAAATCTGTTCTTACACACAGTTTAACCATTGAAGTTTTAACATCCTGTACACAAGCCCCTGTCACTGAGTCTTACAGTAAGGAAACAATCATCGGTCAAGATTATGTCTTGTCATTGGATTAAATAAGGACTTAAAATCCTCATTGTCAACAAGCTATTTAAACTAAAACTCTTTTCTTTTTTTTATTAATCAATAAGTCACACAGTGTGGTCTTTAGATTTTCATTCCCTGATTATTCTTACCTTCCTTACATGCACATCCAGGACCCATCCATCACATTGGCCAGTAATTTATACCAATCAATAAGTAAAATAATTAATAAATAAATAATTGAAATTTTATTTTAAGGATAGTTTGTCATCCACATACAGTAGTGTTGTTATCTGCCATTCATGATCAAATCAGTATTTGCCAAATATAACTATTTCTAATCAATTAACAGCATAATAGTGATTATTGTCATTGTTTTTGTTGATGTTGATGTTAATTTTGTTGTTGCTTTCTTTTTATGGAAAGTTGAAAACCAGAGTACCTGGGTAAAAAAACCCTTAGAGGAGGGGCAAGAACCAACAGCAAACTCAACCCATGGAAAAAAAATTGCATTGCTTCTATGATTCAAACCCAGGTCATATTGGTCGGAGACAAGTGCTTAACCACCATACCACTATTGCTACCAAAAATGGTACCATCAACCTTGGTATAAACACTACATGAATTCTACAGCCTCTGCATGCAGCATACTTTTGGTTAAATCTCAAGATTATAATAAGTAGCCTAACTGACCTTTAAATACGACACAGTCAAACATGAACTTACCTCTGTAGCTGTTTCAACCATCACCCACAGGACTTGAAAAGTTGAACTAATCACATGCTGATCTTGGTGTCGGCACATGACCTGAAACAACCACTCAGATACCTCTGATGGACAGGGCCAGTCTAGATAATGTTGCAATATCCATCCTCCACAGATTAACTCTTGCAGATCAGCATCTGAGCCAGACATCACCTTTGCTTCAAAAGAGTAATTCTCAGGATGAGGGAGCATTGATAGACGAGGAAAGTCTTGTGACTGAAAAACAAAAGAACATCTATTAAGATAACAAAATTGCATGTACAGTATAAATTGCCCGGACGTACATGTACATTGTACTGTGTGCATGTGACACTCGTATTTTATGGCCAGCTCAAGCAGTACATATCTGTAGCCAGTGAACTGTGTGTGATTGGCAAGCTAATCCTCCAAAGCACCAGAATAATTGTAATACCTAGCAAGTTGAGACCACAAGTACTTTTTTTTAATACACTGGCACATGAAGGGCATCCCGGTATTGTCAGTATGAAGCAGAGGTTGGGATCAAGAGTATGGTGGCCCGTGACAGACAAAGAGACGGAAAAGATTTTGCAGAATGTGTTTTGGATACCAGCTAGTAAGCAGTCCTGCTAACCTGGAGCCAATCAAGTCAACCCCCTTACCACAAGGTCCACGGCAAGGCTTGGCCCTGGATTTATTATTATTACTACCACCAGGTGACTCTGTGTTAGTTGTGGTTGAATACTTCAGCAGATATTATGAGATTGAGATCATGCATTCCACACCATCTGAAAAGATCATTGAGAGTCTGGAGAGAATCTTCATGATTCACGGTTTACCACTATCAGTAACCAGTGACAATGGGCCGCAGTTTGTTTCAAGGATGTTCGTTCGAAAGATATTTGGAAGGATGTGGCATCGAGCACAGCAAGACCACGCCTTTATGGCCCCAAACAAATGGTGAGGTGGAAAGGCAGGACCGATCTCTTTTGAAAAGGATGCAGATTGCACACGCTGAGGCAAACAGTGGAAGGAAGAAGTTCACAAATACTTGATAGCATACAGATCGACTCCTAATATCACCACCTGAGTGAGTCCAGCTGAACTTCTGTTTGGAAGAAAAATCCGGACCAAGTTACCTGAATTCCATGAAGACCATGTACGGAGTGAAGTGCAAGACAGAGATGGAGAAATGAAAGCAAAAGCTAAGTTATATGCAGAAAAGAAAAGGCATGCAGAGTATTCAGATCTGGTTCCAGGTGACAGAGTATTACTAAAACAAGAGAAGCAAAACAAGTTGTCGACACCATTTGCACCAGAACTGTATGAAGTTGTTAGCAGGAATGGAAGAAGCATTATTATCAAGTCTCCTTAGGGTGTTAAGTTAAAAAGGAGCACTACGCACGTCAAAAAGTATGAGGAACCGCCACCCATGCCAAGTCAACAGGGCTCAAAGTTAACAACTAACTGGTCGCATATGTGACTGGATTTTTGGTTGTGTGCCTAAAAATTCATGTGTAATCGCACCTGTGCACCATAAAACCCACAGCACAGTGTGACTGACTTGCTTCCGACTATACTTACGAACTCGAACCAGATAAGACGGTGTATGTTTAATTGGTCTTTTCTCCCACTGGATTCCATAAACTCGAATGTTCTTTTTTGTTTCGATGTTTTACTCCATCCCAAACTCTTCTGTTTTGTAATAAACACTGCTGACACATGCAAATATATGCTACGAACGAAACATGTGCTTTTTGCGCAATGGACGATCACGTCGAACGATCAGTTTTAAGGTCAATCAAAACAAAAACAGTGCAGATTAAGGGCCTTTTTTTTCCAGGTAAGAAAGTTTTTAAGTCATATCCCAGGTACATGTAAGTCATTGGGCATTTAACAAATTCATTAAAGATTAACTTTCATTCTCGTTCGACACTCTCGTTGTTGTCAGTTTCTAATTTTTTTTCAAGTGTAAGTTTTGTTTAGTCACAGCTGTACTGTCAAAAAGAGAAATTAGTATAAAAAATCACAACGGTATTACTGTGTAGCAAATCGGCTGTGTTTTATCAATCACAGGACTGAAGTAAAAGTAGCAAACTGAAGATGACAAATAAACGTGGCACTGTTAAGCTTTTTACTTTTTCTTTTGAAATAGATGCTCCCAACATTATAAACTGTGCTCCTAATATTTTCAGCTGCGCGCCTAAGATTTCCGCAGTGCACCTAGAAATTTACATCTGGTAGCACAAGTGCTCCCAAACTCAAATTTAAACTTTGAGCCCTGGTCAAACTGTTTCTCTGCCTGTTGAAGAGGATGTTCAAGCAGAGAGTCCTACTCTACCAATGGATCTTGAGACAGATTGTGGAAAGGAAAGGAATGCTTCTCAAAGAGACCAGACCTGACAGACCTTGAGACAGATTGTGGACAAACTAGAACTGCTATATCTATCAGACCAGTTCATCATAAGAAGTTACCAGAGTCAAGTTCAAAGACTAATATGAGTTGCCTTATTAGAACTATTAGCATTTTACTAAGACAGTGTTAAGTTACTTCAGTAGAGTTATTATTGAACTGCGTGACTTTATCCCACTGAAGTCAAGTTTACACCATTATTTTGTGCAGTTACGAAGTTTGTTCTGGTTTATCCTAGTAGTTTCTAAGGTCATTTATGTTTCCCTTGTATGTAGTATTCTGAAAAAGGAAAGGATGTGGTGTATTTTCAGTATAACTTACATGATATATGAGTGTACAAAGGTTCATGGGATTGATTATTACAAGCACGGCAGGTTAGATCCAGAGTGTTCCTTGGGTAGACTTAATAATCCATTTGAATCAGTTCCAACACACGATTAAGACACAACAACAATGGTATCAGTTCTCCATAAAGAACTACAATACCAAGTGGAAAAGCTCAAGTACAAGAAGAGTGGAGGTCATGCAGCTGAGGATCAGAACCAAATCTGAACTTCCAGTTGGTAAATGAACCATCCCATATCAGTCCACACCAAGTTAACTGGTTGTGATAGATAAATAGATTAGTAAAGAAAAATTGGGGGAGGGGAGCGGGGGCTTCATAGAGGGAGGGGGAGGCTTAATAACTTTCTTCCCCTGGAAAGGGGGGCTTAATAGAGGATTTATGGTGTAACCAGTACATCAAGAATCATTTGGTATTTTTTTTCACACATCCGTTCAATTTTTTTTTCTTTTAAAGACCTTACTGTGACATAAGGATGAAACATTGGAAAGATGTCCTCCCCTGGTAGGTCCTCAGTAAAGTCATGAACATCCACCAGAAACTTCTTGATGTCTTTTGGTAAAGTGCAGTCCTTGAGGTCTCGTCCATCTAAATAAAATCAAAATTGAAAATTTCTCAATCTTCTCACACAAATGGTATAAATAATAATAATAATAATAATAATAATAATAATAATATAGATTGTTATTAAGCGCATTTCTATCCTCAATGCGCTTTACATTATGAAAGCCGATTGAAGATCATTACATTTCTAGCCTATAATGACATTATACAACAAGTATTGTAAAACTTTAAAAATTCTAATTGTAAAACTTTAAAACTCCTAAAATGTTAAGCATGAAAATCAATTGTGACATTATACATCAAGTATGGTAAAACTTTAAAAAAAAAATTCTAAAATGTTATGTTTGAAAATGTAAAGCATGAAAATCAATAATCAAGTATTGTAAAACTTTAAAAAAAAAACCTATAAATGTTAAGCATGAGAATCAATTGAAACATGACTAGAGTTGTTGTCTGACTGTTAATAGAGCACTTAAGCAACAACGATGATGACAGCAGCAAACGTTTTTTAAAAAAAGTGACCTCATACTGTTTCAAAATTCATCCCATCTTATTCTATGTCATTCAATTTGTCAAATATTGGGCAAGTGTTCTCGATTTGAATTCTAAAGGGCTATGACTAAGTTTAAATATGAATGAACAAGACAATCGTTGTCTGGTGATCACATCCGCTACAAAACATGAAATTAATGAGGTAGTTTCATGTTGTGATCATGCAACAATGGCAAAGAAATGCACAAAAAAGCATAACGCAAGGTGCAAAGTCTTGTTTTGCTAATCTAAACCTATTGCCTTTTTGCCATTCCTGTCGATGTTGTCATCCTTTTTGCTTAACTTCCTTATGACTGCTAAATAAAATTATTGATGTTGTCAAGAGGGGCACAGGGGATTTGGTTCAACACAGGCAGTAATGGGTGGCTGAGGTATAAAAAGATTAGACACTGTGTTATTTTATATAATAACTAAGATAGTATGTGCGCTCTAATTGGACGAGAGGAATGTTTGCATGAGAGTATGTAAACTAAATGTGACATCAAGATGTTTTGCTTTTCGCGCACTAATCACGCAAGCATGAATTTGAGTAGAAAACTCAACAAGTTTACTTTACTAATTTACCCATTCCCTCGTCATCTGAAACTTGGAAAGTCTTTACAAAATATGCCGTGTAATTTTTTTTTTTTTTTGCTTAAGCCGACATTTTAAGCGAGAAAAATCCGTATTTTGGAAAGCCTCTTTTTTGCAAAACAAGAACTGACTACGCGAGCAAGACTTTGAGTACAGCATTTCACGACTGGTGAGAATTTCTCCTTTAAATTAGTCCCATAACAAAGAGTTTCGCATTTTTTCTCGGGAAAGTTAATACATAAAAGCAATAGAAAACTTTTTTCCTATATTTGCATAGCCTGATATAAACACTCGAGGGGTTGGGAGAATTCTCAACAGTTATGCAAACCCTCGACTTTGTCTCGGGATTGCATCACTGTTGAGAATTCTTCCAACCCCTCGAGTGTTTATATCAGGCTACGCAAACATGCAAAACATTTTCTATTGCTTAAGCATAGTGCTCCTTTGGCACAGACCCTTTACACCAATATCTTCTTTACAAATAATCTTTAACCCAATTGCACCTGAACAACCCTTTAACTCATCCCTTGTAGAATGTTCCCATGGTCATTGACAACCTTAACACCTAATTTGTAGTGTTCCAGCCAGAGTGCGCCATTGCGTGAATCCCGCAAAATATCGAGAGATGGCCCCCACCAAAAGCGTTCAAGGGCCATTATGGCCCTTGACTTCTTTAATTCCCTCAGCTTAAAAATGTCTCTTTTACTTCAACTACAATAATTTTCCAATAAAACACAATTTTTAATCTAAAGAACAACGACTCCGTACCTTTATACACAACATGAAAATCAATCAATGAATCTTCTTGAGTTTACCTGATTTACCGTGAGTGGTCTGGAGACCACTGAGCCTCGACTTGGTTTTTGTAATATCACAGGAGCTGATGGGTACCCATCATGGCGTCTCGAAAAAGGACGAACCTGACAAACGCATTTTCGAGGTCTATCGAAAGTTTTTTCTCAGTAAGTAACAAAAAAGTGGATGGAGGCGAGCAGTTCAGAAGAAGCAAAAGGAAGCAGATCTTGACAGTGAAGTGGAAAATGAGATGAAAAAAATTACTTACTATTCTTATTGCATACATTCTGATCATACTGTTTGCTTTATTACCGTGGATTTCCTCTATTGTGTATAAAGAGGGATGCTCCATGTCAGCTTCAAATAAACTGCCATTTTCATTTCCTTAACTTTCCAACTGTTTCTTCTCTTTTGCATATTAGCAAGCTACTAGTGCATTGGATCTTTCTTGAAATATCTGGCCCCAAAAAATGGGTTGTAGGGCCACTTTGGCCCACAAGCAGAAATTTCTGGCTGGAACACTGAATTTGTGGGGGAGAAAACTGTCCAAACAACCATACCCAAATGTTTTTCTTTTTTCTTTAAAGAACAAAGAACAATGTAAAATTGGCCAGAACAAGCCACTGAAAAGCTTGTTCTCCTAACCACCTGTACTACCTTTCAAATAATTTTATGAATTTGTGGCTTTTGGTGGAAACTGTTCTCACCAGAATTACTGGGCTCAAAATAATGGCCGGTCAACAGACAATGTCCGGCCTGATTGTGGACTTGACCGGTCAAACTCTCGTCTTGTTGGTCATTTTGACTGGTCATTTTTGGATGCGAACATTTTATAATATTTTCCATATAGTTGCCGCTTAATGCATTTTGCTCTATAACGCTGTAATGATTTCTTTTTCTTTGGCTTTTTTTGCTGCTTTGCACTAAACCCTTTAAAGAAAAAGAATGCCGCAATAAATTTCATGTCATCATGTCATAGTGAAACGGAACAAAGCAAAACAACAACAAACTGAGTTGTGGAGTAACGCAACGATGCAGCAGGTCGTACTGTACGTTCGGCTTTGCTGTGATCAGTAATGTGACTGCTCGTCGTGTACTGTTTCTCCGCGAATAAATTTCAGTGCATTGATTAATTATAATAATTTCTCTACGTCGAACATGAATCTTGTTTGTGGACTCAATTCCAGAATTTTCTGATAAAAACTAAGCTAATCGACAACAAACGTCGCCTATCTTGGCGCTTGAAATCCTCCATTTTGTAAACAGTTTTAAGGTGATGTTACACAAAACGATTCGCAATGACGATTTTTAGCGCAACACAGCAAAGCATCGTTGAAACAATGTTGCAACCATTCGAAACAATGTTGCAACAATGTTGAAATGATTTGTTGCACTAATAATCATCGTTGCAAATCGTCCCGTGTAACATCACCATTGTGCAAATTTCTGTTGACGTTAATTAGCCCTTCAAGATAAAGTGTTGGGCTATGACCCAACCGAAAGCTCTGCTGTATATTTATTGACTTCTGATGATAAATACGCTGTTTGTAGAACAAATTTCTCCCCAAATTAACTTCTTTGCCGGAAATGTTTAACGACATTTCTTCTTTGTAGAGGAGACTTTCGATCACACGCCAGGCAATGAAAAAGATCTAGTTTCACCGATATGCAGATATAGGACGAACCTTGGAGACTTCAGACACTGCCATATGATGATACTCAAGGTATATATATAAACAGACATAAAAATGGGTGAAAATCGCAGAAAGGAACTCAACAACGTGTGAATGAATTTTTCACCAACTTGCCGCCAAAAACCTGAATGTCAATGCAGTACAACGATCTATTGCCAGCGTAATTCGATATTCCATGACAAAAAAAAATTATGTATTCATTATTTCACTGGCCAAAAACAGGGTTTGTCCGGGCTAAAAAAATATTTGGCCAGTCACCATGACCGGCGACCTGCTCTCCGTTATTTTGAGCCCTGCATTAATGTCCAGCAAAAAAAACAAAAACCAAAAACAAACAAAAAAATGGGGAAAGAAAAGCAAACTAAGCAGGAAGTAGACAAAGTGAAAAAGGTATTAGTAGTGGAGGTGTGGCAGTGTCACTTTTAAACCCAAAAACTGTGTTGAAGTTTTCCTTAAAACTGTGAAAGTCCCAAAAGCACAGAGGCCACAATTTAGGATCAGGAGGAGAAGGCTCCATATTTAAACAAGAGCACTATTTGGGCAGTATTGGATCTTTGGTGACTCGAAAAACACCGTGCTAGCTTCAAAATGGTGTTTTTCAGAAAAATTTCCTAGGGCAAATGGCTTAATGAATAAAAATAATGACAAAACATAATTATGAATATGTACTGGTCTTTACCATCAGTGAGTTCCTCCTCCGATTCAATATCACTAAATGAGCTCGGTACTTGCATTTGAGCAATGCCCCCTTTCTCTAGTCCTCTCTGCAACTCTGCTTCCATTTCAGCAAGCTCGGCATCTCTCTCTTTTCGTTTTACCTTCTCCTTTATTAGCTTTTCAAAGGAAAGTTTGTATTTGGTTTTATCTTCTTTTACTACATCCTTGGTGACTGGGGATGGAGTAGAAAATGCCGGCACAATACCCTTTTCTGGTGTCCTGACATTTGGTTTCAATTGTAGTTTTTCATATAGAAATCTTGGAGGAGTTAAAAGATCATCATCAGACTCAGAGCCTTCAGAAATATCGCCATCACTTGTGGGTACATCACTATCCAAGCGTATCTTATTAAATGGCTTGCTAATATGGTTGCATTCCTTTTCATACTCCTCTTTTTGTAAAAAATCACTATTTTCGTCTTCCTTGCAATCACTTGAAGAATAAGATGCTTCAGGAAGAACACCATTAATGCCCCAAGGCTTGTTGATCTGATTACAACTCTTATCAGATTCTTCCCTTTTTAAATCATGACAATCGTGAACTTGCTCATCCTCCATAACACTGTCACAACTACTTCTCTGGTCTTTGTCAAGATCTTCATTTTCTGACTCTTCTGGCGTATCAACATCTGATTCTTCAACCTTTAACATTAATAGATTGTCTATCTGGGCAACAGTTTCATTGCATTCTTTGTAATCAACACCATTGTTACTTTCACCTTTCTGTAACTTGTCAGTCGTTGATTCCTTATGCACATTAGATTCTTTGATTCCACTCAAGCTGGCATCTAAAAAATCTCCTTTGCTAGTGGCATTGTGTTGGGCTGTGAATGATAGATCTGTTAAACTTTCATGACATGTATTATAATGTGAAGTATCAACTTCTTCAGTTGCTGAAAGGAAGGTTTTATCACAGTCCATACCACTGACATCTGCAAGATCTCTCCTTGGTGACTGGGTATTGCAATTAATCAAAGCATTCTTGCAAATGGCAACATCCCCAACGGGTGTAGAGTTTTGTACCCTCTTTTGGTTACTCAAAGCTGGATTGCTACCATACCCAGCTTTATTTTTTACAGGAGTAGAATGACATGTTTGATTTATTGGTGAGGCCGCGTTGCAGCTTTTTCCTTTGTCATTTTCTGCATTGTCCTTTGACAAAGCATTGCATGTACTGTCTTTAGAACTTGTTTTGGAAGTTTGAAATTTCTCAAATAGTGATGTTCTGAATTCCTCTTCCTTTGCAGTTTTCATCTTCACAGGGTTATCCACTGAGGGGCGACTTTGTTTTGTGCCTGAAATAAAATAAACTAAAGTAAGAACAGTAGTCTTTACACTAGAGCCTAAACAAACTAAGAAATATTTCAAGACAAGTAAAGTTTAAATTCTTCAAGTAAAAGGAAGCTTAACACGCAACCTATCTTTGTTACTTCAAGTTAACTTAAGGCTATTTTCCCACACAACATAATCAAGATTGATTGGCATGCTTTGCCTTTCTCAAAGCTCAAGAAACCATAGGTTCGCAAAGTCAGTTTACAGGACGGTTTTGAAGTCACTTGAATCTTTTCTTGAATCGTTTCAACTTTCTGTTTTTAATGAGATGCAAAGTAAAATAACTTGAGATTTTTATTTAGGCCTTCACACATGTGTCTTGGTTAAGTAAAACTTAGCAGCTCTTAAGTCTTACTCAACAGCCTAGTTTAAAGACAACTACATGTAATGATACTATCAGGGTTTGAGCTACATATTCATTGCTAGGGGCCCTTTAGCCTGCAAAGCAAGCATTCCAAATTGAGTTATTGCGAGAAAGTTGGTGAAGACCAAACAAAAATGGGTTTTCAAATATTTTCACAAATCAGACTACTTAAAACAGGACTCAAAGTTTAAATTTGAGTTTGGTCGCACTTGTGCCACCAGATATAAATTTTTAGGCACACTGCCGAAATTTTAGGTGCACAACTGAAAATTTTAGGAGCACAGCTTATAATGTTGGGAGCATCTAGTTCAAAAGAAAAAGTCAATAGTGCTTAACAGTGCCACGTTTATGTGTCATCTTCAGTTTCTTTTATTTCAGTCCCATGATTGACCATTGTGATTTTTAATACTTATTTCTCTTTTTTGACAGTACAGTTGTGACTAAAGAAAACATACACTTAAAAAAAATTGAAAACTGACGACAATGAGTATGTCGAACAAGAATGAAAATTAATCTTTAATGAACTTGTTAAATGCACGATGACTTACATGTAACTGGGTTACGACTTAAAAACTTTCTTACCTGGAAAAAAATAGCTCTTAATCTGCACTGTTTTTGTTTTGACTAACCTTAAAACTAAACGTTCCACATCATAATCCACTGCGCAAAAGGCCTGTGTTTCATTTGTAGCATATTTGCATGTGTCAGCGGCATTTGTTACAAAACAGAAGAGTCTGGGATGGAGTAAACATCGAAAGGGAAATGAACCAGAGTTTGTGGAATCCATTGTATTGGGAGAAAGGACGAATTAAACATACACAGATGAAAGAAAAACAATGCAACTTCATTGTTTAGAGTCTGGTTGTGCTATTTCTGCATTTCTTTTACTTTCATTGCTTGAAGCTACTGTTTAATGTCCTACTAGTTCGAGTACGTGCGTATGGCCAGGTTAGGAAGTAGCAAGGGAAGCAAGTCAGTAACTGACTGGTGCACAGGTGCAAGTACACATGAATTTTTGGCGCACAACCAAAACTCTAGTTGCATATGCAATTAGTAAGCCATTAACTTTGAGCCCTGTTAAAAGTGAAGCAAAATGTTTGGTTTCCTTTACTTTCGAGAAATGTTGATCAGTAGACATGGTGTTTCTAAAATAAGAATAAGTAAAATGTTTTAAAGTTTAGTCCTTTAAACCTTAAGGAATCAATTTCATACCTAAAACCCAATGCAAAAATCCCTTTACAAAGTGAATAAACCATTGCAGTAAATTTTTAACGCTATCTATGTTTAAGCTCTTTGTTTGATTGTTTGACTAATCTTGGGTCTCGTTCTTGGAAGTATTCATTGCAATATCCCCCCCAACCCAATTTCGGCAACAACAATAATAACAATAATAACCAAAAATTAATAGTAATAGCAAATAATAATAATAATAATAATAATAACAATAATAATTCAGTCACTTAACTTACTTACCTTGAGGGGTTAATGCCTTGAAAAATTTGGTTATTGCTTGACTGCTAATAGACAAAAAACATATAATCAATCAGTGAAGTATGCTTAGCTTAATTTCCTCTATCCAGCTTTATCCACTTGCATGCCGTACAGCTCTTTAATTGCAACACTACACAACAGAACACTACAGAATTCCAGCTTGGCAAAACTTGACTGATAAGAATTCTACGTACGTGAATTATCGAAATAGATACAATAAAACCATGTCTGAAAGCATCACAATCTACATTCAGTGCTAGACCCTACCACAAAAATAAAACTTACACTTATAAAACTTAAAACTTACGCTTAGCGGAGACCGGAACCTGGTAAACTTCGGTAGAACGAAGTGAAAACAAATAAGAATACTTAAGTTATTAAGCTGACTGTCTATCCGATCCTGTTTGATCTGTTGTTTTTCTAAGTAAGATTACGACTTCTCCTTATCATAATTGAGATGCTTAGGTTTTACGAAAAGGCACCGTTTAAGTCTTACCCCTTCCCCTTCTGTGAAGAGGACAGCTTTCTTTTCATTTTCTACAAGAGACCTTCAGCAGCTCATACTTGCCGCCATGTTGTTTCTTCTGCGCGCCAAATGTACCTTATTGTGCGCTTGCGTCAGATATTTTCACGCTGACCAGAGGTCGGATGGTGCGTACACATTCACCTATATCGCGCGCTAGGCTAGGCTTCGGATATTGCCTCCACTACTAAACCGGTACACACAAGACAACAATGTTCATATATGGGCGCGTGGGCCAGCCAAGCCACCGTGCCGTTTATTCAACATATATGCAGATATGTACAAATGTCAAGTAATATCTGTAAACGAAAGAACAGAAGCACCAAAGCCGGACACGAAAACCCCAAAAAACCAGCAGGTGGAAAAAACAAGGGGAACGTGTACCCCCGACCAAGGCAGTGGTGCAACCCTTGGGGTTTTAGGGTATGCTAGTGCCTAAACTATAAACATCAATAAACACACGAATAAAATAAAAGAGAGAAAAACAACCTAACACGGTGAAGGCTGACCGTAGAATGCCTCACCTTCCTAACGACCACGAATTACAAACTCGAATCCCATGACTCACTGCGCACTGACACCCTCCCCAGACCTCTGATACGTGCCGGCAAAATAGTAATTTATGATAATACGGTGTAATCGCAAATTACATTTTTCGGGGCCGTTCACACTAGGTGCTCTAGACTTGCCTACAAGTCGAGCTCAAATCACGAGCGCGAAGCGCGAGCGGTAGATTGTTTATTTACATTTTTATGTTTTCTGTGGCAAAAGCGAGGGAGAGATCTCACTGGGGCCAACTACCGGAACTGGAAATGAGAAACGAAGGACTTTTAGAAAGTCTGTAGGTGCCCGAACATGAACAGTAGCATTTAAAGGCGTTGTGTTCACTTCTTAAGTACCCCTTATGTAGCTGTGAACATAATTATTGTTAATGTTTTTGCCTCGTCTGACGGTCTCGAAAACACCGGGCACCGTGCCCAAATTCTGCCAAGGTTACGTAAAAAACAGTGTCTTTTACGTTAGAGTAGCGTATCACTGCCTTATCCCAAGGGGTGCTGGAGGAAGGACAAAACATGGATCCTGGGTCTAAGGCCCCTGTTTTGGACCGTCCGTGGACCTAGCTAATTTTATTAACCCGAAAAACAGATCAAGAAGAAATGTAAGTAATAAAGTAGAAATAAACATCGCGGCAGCGAAAAGGAAAATCTCTCGAAGACACTATAGTAAGATCCAAAGCTATAAAAAAAGACATGTTTATTGACAGGTGTCTTGTTTGCCTGTCAACACCTTTTGAAAATTATTTCATTATTCACTTATCTTATTTCATCATTATGTCGAATTATGTTTTCTTTTTCTTTCTTACCCTTGGCACGTGTTTTTCAATGTTTGTTTACATTTGCGCTCGTTTCCGCTTCGTTCTGATTGGCGGAAATCTGACAGCTAAGTCGACGTTGAGCTACGGGGGAATTGGACGTGGTGAATTCACACTCCAGAGACGTAGTTGCAGGCTCTCCTTCCTTTACCCGCCCTACTGCCAGAGCGCCCCGGAGAGCTTGGTCGCAGGCAAACGATTTTGCCCTATGTAAGGCCTGTAAGGTAATCCGGAATTTGGAATCCTAGCCTGTGCTTTGGAATCCGTAATTAAGTTCAAGTTATCCGACTGGAACTTGGAATCTAAGTTCCACTGACAAGGAGTCCTAGAGTCCAGTTTATCATGAAATCCGGAATCCACAGCAAAGTTTTCAGTGTTCAAGACTGTCTTTGATTACCTTGCAAGGGGTGACACGGTCCCTTAGGAGTTCTTAACTTTGTTTACGGTTGAACCTTTCAACAACGGCCACCTCGGGGACAAAAGAAAATGGCCGTTTTAGAGAGGTGGCCATTCTAGAGAGGTTAAAAGACTCCAAATAAGAGTCATTATTATTCATTCAAAATGTTTCCCCGATTCTGATTGGCTAAAAGCCTGATAATTCACCATACCCAGCTAATGATGACAAAATTTGGAAGAATCTTGCGATTAATGAACCGATGACGTCAAAAGTGCACCTTCCATGTAGGTTAATGCACCGTTAACCGAGAAGACCTGGGGACGAGGTTGAGTTTTTTTAATTGTCAATAACAAGAACTAGGCAAAATAATAGCTAAAAACATGGCAAAAACAGCAAGAAGACAACTCGACGAACGACATCTGTTATTTGGAGAATATTTGCGGAGCTGACTAACCCTAAAGGTGCACTATCGAAGATGAACTCAACATTTATGGAGCTAAGCATGTTTTAGCTATGTTTTTAAACTAGAAATTATTTTAACTGAATAATAAAAAAATTATTGAATTCGGCTTTCGTATCATATGAAAAATTAATGGAGATAATTCTTCATGAGATACAGAGCCTCATTAATTAAATAAATTGTTCAATGTATGGACTGTCCGCCTGAAAAAGTGGCCGTTGTGGAGAAGTGGCCGTTAGTGGAGGTTCAACTGTATTTCAAATACAGTTTTGAGATAATTATAAAGAGAAATCAAGCATCAAGAGAGAGAAATAAGGGTCATTTTTATAAAGGGTACCAGGTCTAATGATATAAAGATTTACTTTTAAATTAAAAGGTGTATTTTCATATTTTATTTTATTACAGTGTAACAAGGGTGATTGGTGTGTTACAAGCCAGCCTTGCTAAATAGTACGCTGTAAATTAAACTTGCAGATCTGTTTCAGCACAGGGCGTCCATACTCACAAGAGCCTACTGGAAGCCAAGTTATAAGGATTTGTATGGAGATTTATCGTAAGATCAATAAAACGGTTAAAATAATGTACATAGACAGCTAATAAAGTATACATACCTTATAAAGAATCGTTTCTGTGTTGTTTTCTTACTGTTTCCTGCTCTTAACTATAAACGCCATTTAGCAAGTTAATAGCTCTTTACAGTATGTGCACTTTAACCTTTTTATCAAGCTTATGATAAATTCCCATACAAATGGACTTATCATTTGGTATCTGTCCAGTGGGCTGTTGTGAGTCTGGGTACCCTGTGGTACAGTCGCCAAAACTAAAAGCCAGTTTTAATAACCCTGCAGGCCTCAGTCTAATTTAGTCTCTTCTGGAGCCATTTAAATTTGAGCACAGTTCACCAAAAAGCCCCATCACATGTCAATTCCGGTCGACACTAGGGCTCATTTCACCCCTTGGGTCTAAAATCAGTCCTAAGTAATTGGACTGCATTGGCCCTAATTCAGTTAAGGGAGCCAACCACAATAATGGTTGTGTATTTTACTCAACGAAACGACCTCAATCATTTTTAGGGCTAAAAAACGATCTTTTTTAATTCACAGTGTTTAGTGAGGACAGTAGTCAATGAAAAAAGACTGAGGTGCAGTAACTACAGATGAGAATCGTTAAAACTGAGTTTACCCAACTAATATCAGGGGCGCAACGACTATGTCTGTAAAATAACTGTTCGAAGCAGCAAGTATAGCCCAAAAAGTTACGAGGGATTTTGGGAGGTTCTATTTTCAAAGACCTCCTGACAATTTAGATATTACGACAAAAGCGTGTCCTAGAATCTTCTAACAAAGTACATTCCGCTAGTCCATGTGTTCGAGCTTCCGACTAATATATTGCAGGAGGCACAACTGTAACTGTAACTGTGAATCTTCATAATTAATTGAATTTCATTTCAAATCTGGAACAACGACGTACTCATTCCGCGCGTCGTATCGTGGTCGAAGCGAAGCTATAGCAGGTGGCGATGAGGCCCGAGTTTTCTTAAGCTTCCAGCAAAACCAAACAGGAACGGAGATAACAGCGACAATCACAGTTGCCAGAATTCCAATCGAGAGCCTACCAATCCTATCAATCCAACTTTTCTTCTCTGCAGGCCTCTCTCTTTTCTGACCACCAGCTTCGTTCGAATCTGTTCAGAACAGAAAATAGAACTTACAAGGACTTCAATACTTTTTCATCTCAACGGAGGTTATGCATGCATGTTTATTTGCTTGTGACCTACAATGGGTACCATAATGGCACCATTTCGACTCTTTGGAACTCACCTAACCTGAGTTCGCTGCTGAGGTCGTGGAGGTACGTCCGTCTTCGCTACGGATTTCGTCTGCATGGAAAACAAACAATTTTTAGTGCCCTCACCCATTATGTATTGATCTAATTTGTAGCATTGACTAGCTAATGGCCTACTATTCCGGTCATAAATAATAATAATAATAGTAATTAATAATAATAATAAGTAATAATAAGACCGGCCTTAAGCGGGAGTTGAAACGGATCTGGAAATTGCGCAGAGTAACTATGGTGCCAGTCATAATTGGTGCAATAATAACTGCAATAGAAACTGTCTCGAAAGGCATAGACAAGTGGTTAGCAGCGATTGGTGTCACCTGTCTTTTAGAATCATTGCAGAGAGCGTGCCTAATTACTGGGTATAGCCAGAATACTTCGCAAAGTCTTAAACACCTAAGGTCACGGGCAGTGACTTGATGTTTAAGGGAGACTTCAGCTAGACATCCAGAAGCTGCGTTTAATGAGTTATCATCATCATCATCAATATCGTGATCATGATAATGATCATTATCATTATTATTATTATATTATTATTATTATTGACGTCGAAGTCGTTGAAGGAGCCATTCAATCGGACTAGTTATGTGTTTCCTTACTTTTAAATGGCAAATATTCGTCATTAACACATTGTGAACGCTATTTAATATTCCCCCTTTTTTAGTGATTTGTTTTTAGTGATTGTCTTAGTAAGAATGCAACTGACCTTGAAAATAGTTTCTTCTTTTTCTAATCGAAATGAATTGTTTTAATTGAAATGCAATGTTCTTAATTTGTATAATTTTTGTTTAAAGTAATGAATTTTTTTCTAATCAAAACTAAGTGTTTTTTTGACGAAAGGATTGACTGTAAATAGTCTTTCGACGAAATAGTTTTTTTAAGTGAATTAATTGTAAATAAGATTTTAATAGTTAGCATTGTTATCAATAGAATTATTATTATTATTATTGAATTATTGTTATTATTATTATCATCATTATAAACTATACCGATACAAAAGAAGGGAGAGATGTTGGGATATTGAAAAAGATCCTCAACTAATTAATTTGGTGTAGACTAACGAGAGTTGGGTAGATTACAATGGAACCTCCCTATTAAGTGGACCTTTAAGGTTCAGAACCTTAGAGGTTGACGTTACTGCTAGAAAACTGGATCTGTTCCTCCAACAGCGCTCTTGCATGCTCTCATCAAACAATAAAAATTACTAACTTCTGAACGGGCAACATTAGCCGAAGACTATGACGTTAGACGATAAAGGTAAATTTCCACTGCCGCGTAATTTTTACCAGCGTAAATAAAATAGAGGCAATGTATTAAAGGTCGCGCTTAAATGTAAAAGTTGAGTGACCTTTCATACATTGCCTCTATTTTATTTACGCGCATACGTACGTAGAAATGTTCGTGACAGTGGAAATCCACCCTTGTGTTGGGTTTCATAAATTTGCACTCTGACGTAGAAGTATTTCTTCGTTGGCTACAGCTTTTTCAAACAAACGTTGTCGGAAGAAGAGCTGCTAGAAAACCTGTAAGTCATGAGTAGTGGTAGTACATTTTCTCCATAAACTGAAATCACTCCACTAACTTCGCGACGCCACCGTTTGTGTACTTGAGAAATGCCGTCTGAGGAACAGAAATATCTGTAGAAATTCCATACTGATGACGTATCATTAGCCAGAATTGGGTGTTGCTTTTGACTGGTCATGCGCGGGGAATATTTTCTTCAACTAATCAGAAGCTCCACTACACAGATCTGCATAGGTAGTGATACGTCACAAGTGTGGAATTTCTGTGCTCGTTTCTGCGACGTAATTTCGCGAGCAAACCTGTTTTCCCAGGCTAACTGATGACTATATATGGTTTACTAGATGTAAGATAAATAACTTAATCTCAGTGATTTTGCTTCTGTTTTCAATGCAATTTTTGTGCAGAAAAGTACGAAAAATTCACTTTTTGCTGAAAAATAGCTCTGTGGCTAGACCTCATGTCACCAATAACGGCTATCTCGTAACCATGGTAAAAGGGTGTCATTGATGAGTGTGAAAATTCTGTCTTACTCTCTATGAAAATATCTGTCTGTTCACAAGTAAATTTTAATACTCATTTTCAAAATTAAATGATTATGCTTTACGCCTTGCTTTGCCAAGAGAGTATCTCGAAACTCAGGCCGTATAGGAGCCCATCGTAGGCTCCTGGGCCGTCTGAATGTACACTGAGAAGAAAATAGCACATAGTTAGAGCCTTCTTTAAAAGAGCTATAGTAAGAATTCATTACTAAATTCATTCGACCGAGCTAGGTCCGTCGGGCGTTGAATTGCTGCTGGGGAAGGATTAGATAGATTAAGTTTCGCTTGTTTGACCGCTTTTTTTTTATAATTACGATTATGGGCAACCACTTACCAATCTTTTCGTGAACTATTATGTAAGCGTTCCGCAGAGCATAACCAAGTGAGTTTCTCACAAGGCAAGTGTACTTTCCTTCACTTTTCTTTGTAACGTTATCCAAAGTCAAAGTGACTTCATGGAAAGCGTGCCTGCTATTGCTAGTGCTAAGCCAATTAATGGGAGCTTGCTGGTTCTGTTTTATGACTTCATACTGAAATTTGCTGCCTTCAGTGCTGTTACCAGAGCTGTTGAAATGCATTGGAAACCATCGTAACCACTCGAAATGAGGCACAGCATCACTATATGCCCTGCATAGCAACGTGGCGCTTTCGCCAACAAAAGCAGTTGCGTTTATCATCGAAATGACAACTGGCTTGGCACGGGTTCGTTCTATGTGTACGAAAGAGAAAAAAAGATGGTCATACTATGAGAGTATCGTTGAAGTAATGACAAGCTGAAGGACTTTATGCATATATATGCACAATAGACTCGACTGAAGGAGTGTCCAAAATGAAACGGCCATTTTTTTTCTTCCAATTCGCCATGGACTGTAAATGTTTGTGAATCTGAGTTACACAATCATGTAAAAGTGAAGTCATTTTGCAGACAAAAGCACTTTTTTCACAAAATCGAATTTCTTCAGTTTTGAAGTGTTAATTTTAGATTGTTTTTAAGTAAGTACGTAAGTAAGTAAGTAAGTAAGTAAGAACTTTATTATAAAAGTGAACGAGAAAAAGTACGACATTTTCTCCATAAAACGTGTAACTAAGAAGTTTCTGCCGGGCAGTTTAACGTTGTAGTCGTGCAAAACAACGGCAAAGAAATGTACAAAAAAAGCGTGCTGCACGAGCAAAGTTGCTTTTTTGCTAATTAGACCTATTGTTGTTTTTGACCCTTCTCCGGCGTTGCCTTCGCCGCTTAGCACTACACGATTTTATATTTTGTTTGAGCAAAATATAAATATTATCGAGAGCTTCGCTTTTATCCCTGGCTAAATCTATATGATTAGTGTTGAGGTCGCTAGCATACACAGGGCTGTTAATAAGGGCCGGTAGCCGGCCAAAACGGCCTGCTAGTTAGCCATCCTTTCATCTCCTTCTACCATAACTGCTAGAGTATGACTCTCCTGTCCTCTCTTGTGGGCAGGGGAGTCATGTCAAATGCTCCCTTCTCTCGTACCTTGCATTCCCGGCTCCAACCGCCTTTTTGGCTTCCTCCCTTTAGCCGTTTTTTTCGATTAAAAAATATAAAGCATTACCGCATAGTTCCTCCCTATTTCTCCTGCTTCCCACACTTATAGAACTCCCAACTCCCGCCCTTTCCTCTCTCGCCTCCCCTACCTCTCCCTCCCCAAGCAATGAAGCTCTTGATAAGAGGGGTTGTGGCTGTAGTTCATGTGAGTCAAAGCAATTCCTTACCACGCACGTCAACATAGTAAGAATGGTTGATCCATCCAAGATGGTTACTGACGTTACAGGTGTATCTTCCAGTATCTGACGGTACCACGTCTTTTAAACGCAACACATACTTTCCATCCAAGTATAGCAAACGACCTCTTCTCTCGTCAAAGGGTTTTCCGTTCTTGTACCATGCTATCGTGGGGTGAGGATATCCTTTAGCGGAACAGTCAAGTTTTACTGAGTTGCCGACCGGTAGGGCTATCAGTGTTTTTTGTAGCTTGCGTTTTGACACAGTAAACCTCGGGGCCGCTATAAGAAGAAAGCGAATGGTGTTTGTGTTAAAAGAAAACCATTGCCTGCTTGTTAAGCTATAAGGAAGTGCCCTACTCGTTGCTATTCTTACCTGATGTTAAATTCCTGTTCACTGTAGGTGTAGGCAGCACTTTAAACAACAACAACAATCAAACAAAAAAGAATAATCATAGTCAGAAACTTTAAAACAATTTCAAGCATGCATGTTTATTTGCTTGTGACCTACAATGGGTACCATAATGGCACCATTTCGACTCTTTTGAATTCACCTAACCTGAGTTCGCTGCTGAGGTCGTGGAGGTACTTCCGTCTTCGCTACGGATTTCGTCTGCATGCAAAACAAACAATTTCTTAGTGCCCTCACGCATTATGTATTGATCTAATTTGTAGCATTGACTAGCTAATGGCCTACTATTCCGGTCATAAATAATAATAATAATAGTAATTAATAATAATAGTAAGTAATAATAAGACCGGCCTTAAGCGGGAGTTGAAACGGATCTGGAAATTGCGCAGAGTAACTATGGTGCCAGTCATAATTGGTGCAATAATAACTGCAATAGAAACTGTCTCGAAAGGCATAGACAAGTGGTTAGCAGCGATTGGTGTCACCTGTCTTTTAGAATCATTGCAGAGAGCGTGCTTAATTACTGGGTATAGCCAGAATACTTCGCAAAGTCTTAGACACCTAAGGTCACGGGCAGTGACTTGATGTTTAAGGGAGACTTCAGCTAGACATCCAGAAGCTGCGTTTAATGAGTTATCATCATCATCATCAATATCGTGATCATGATAATGATCATTATCATTATTATTATTATTATATTATTATTATTATTGACGTCGAAGTCGTTGAAGGAGCCATTCAATCGGACTAGTTATGTGTTTCCTTACTTTTAAATGGCAAATATTCGTCATTAACACATTGTGAACGCTATTTAATATCCCCCCTTTTTTAGTGATTTGTTTTTAGTGATTGTCTTAGTAAGAATGCAACTGACCTTGAAAATAGCCTCTTCTTTTTCTAATCGAAATGAATTGTTTTAATTGAAATGCAATGTTCTTAATTTGTATAATTTTTGTTTAAAGTAATGAATTTTTTTCTAATCAAAACTAAGTGTTTTTTTTTGACGAAAGGATTGACTGTAAATAGTCTTTCGACGAAATAGTTTTTTTTTTAAGTGAATTAACTGTAAATAAGATTTTAATAGTTAGCATTGTTATCAATAGAATTATTATTATTATTATTGAATTATTGTTATTATTATTATTATCATCATTATAAACTGTAACGATATAAAAGAAGAGAGAGATGTTGGGATATTGAAAAAGATCCTCAACTAATTAATTTGGTGTAGACTAACGAGAGTTGGGTAGATTACAATGGAACCTCCCTATTAAGAGGACCTTTAAGGTTCAGAACCTTAGAGGTTGCATTACTGCTAGAAAACTGGATCTGTTCCTCCAACAGCTTCCAACAGCGCTCTTGCTCTCATCAAACAATAAAAATCACTAACGTCTGAACGGGCAACATTAGCCGAAGACTATGACGTTAGACGAGAAAGGTAAATTTCCACTGCCGCGTAATTTTTACCAGCGTAAATAAAATAGAGGCAATGTATTAAAGGTCGCGCTTAAATGTAAAAGTTGAGTGACCTTTCATACATTGCCTCTATTTTATTTACGCGCATACGTACGTAGAAATGTTCGTGACAGTGGAAATCCACCCTTGTGTTGGGTTTCATAAATTTGCACTCTGACGTAGAAGTATTTCTTCGTTGGCTACAGCTTTTTCAAACAAACGTTGTCGGAAGAAGAGCTGCTAGAAAACCTGTAAGTCATGAGTAGTGGTAGTACATTTTCTCCATAAACCGAAATCACTCCACTAACTTCGCGACGCCACCGTTTGTGTACTTGAGAAATGCCGTCTGAGGAACAGAAATATCTGTAGAAATTCCATACTGATGACGTATCATTAGCCAGAATTGGGTGTTGCTTTTGACTGGTCATGCGCGGGGAAAATTTTCTTCAACTAATCAGAAGCTCCACTACACAGATCTGTATAGGTAGTGATACGTCACAAGTGTGGAATTTCTGTGCTCGTTTCTCCGACGTAATTTCGCGAGCAAACCTGTTTTCCCAGGCTAACTGATGACTATGTATGGTTTACTAGATGTAAGATAAATAACTTAATCTCAGTGATTTTGCTTCTGTTTTCAATGCAATTTTTGTGCAGAAAAGTACGAAAAATTCACTTTTTGCTGAAAAATAGCTCTGTAGCTAGACCTCATGTCACCAATAACGGCTATCTCGTAACCATGGTAAAAGGGTGTCATTGATGAGTGTGAAAATTCTGTCTTACTCTCTATGAAAATATCTGTCTGTTCACAAGTAAATTTTAATACTCATTTTCAAAATTAAATGATTATGCTTTACGCCTTGCTTTGCCAAGAGAGTATCTCGAAACTCAGGCCGTATAGGAGCCCATCGTAGGCTCCTGGGCCGTCTGAATGTACACTGAGAAGAAAATAGCACATAGTTAGAGCGTTCTTTAAAAGAGCTATAGTAAGAATTCATTACTAAATTCATTCGACCGAGCTAGGTCCGTCGGGCGTTGAATTGCTGCTGGGGAAGGATTAGATAGATTAAGTTTCGCTTGTTTGACCGCTTTTTTTTTTATAATTACGATTATGGGCAACCACTTACCAATCTTTTCGTGAACTATTATGTAAGCGTTCCGCAGAGCATAACCAAGTGAGTTTCTCACAAGGCAAGTGTACTTTCCTTCACTTTTCTTTGTAACGTTATCCAAAATCAAAGTGACTTCATGGAAAGCGTGCCTGCTATTGCTAGTGCTAAGCCAATTAATGGGAGCTTGCTGGTTCTGTTTTATGACTTCATACTGAAATTTGCTGCCTTCAGTGCTGTTACCAGAGCTGTTGAAATGCATTGGAAACCATCGTAACCACTGGAAATGAGGCATAGCATCACTATATGCCCTGCATAGCAACGTGGCGCTTTCGCCAACAAAAGCAGTTGCGTTTATCATTGGAATGACAACTGGCTTGGCACGGGTTCGTTCTATGTGTACGAAAGAGAAAAAAAGATGGTCATACTATGAGAGTATCGTTGAAGTAATGACAAGCTGAAGGACTTTATGCATATATATGCACAATAGACTCGACTGAAGGAGTGTCCAAAATGAAACGGCCATTTTTTTTCTTCCAATTCGCCATGGACTGTAAATGTTTGTGAAATAGAGTTACACAATCATGTAAAAGTGAAGTCATTTTGCAGGCAAAAGCACTTTTTTCACAAAATCGAATTTCTTCAGCTTTGAAGTGTTAATTTTAGATTGTTTTTAAGTAAGTAAGTAAGTAAGTAAGTAAGGAAGTAAGAACTTTATTATAAAAGTGAACGAGAAAAAGTATGACATTTTCTCCATAAAACGTGTAACTAAGAAGTTTCTGCCGGGAAGTTTAACGTTGTAGTCGTGCAAAACAACGGCAAAGAAATGTACAAAAAAAGCGTGCTGCACGAGCAAAGTTGCGTTTTTGCTAATTAGACATATTGTTGTTTTTCACCGTTCTCCGGCGTTGCCTTCGCCGCTTAGCATTACACGATTTTATATTTCAGGGTCGTAACATGGTATATGGGCTCAGGGCTCAAAGCCCAAAATATGACCAGGATCAGGGCTCGGGAAAGGGCTCAGGGCTCAGAAGAATGGGATCAGGGATCACAAGGCTTTTGAGCCCTAATCAGGGATCAGATTTATTACACGGTCTAAAAATCTCTTATCTCAATATTTTCCCGCTTAATAAGGTTTGTGTCCATATAATTTCCTGGCCGAGGTACATTACCTATTCTTGCTTCCAGCTGGCGGCAGTTCCTGTCATACGAAGTCCTGGCTGTTTGACGAAAACATTGTATCATATTCTTAATTTATTAATTGTTGAGGGCACCGTAATATGAATCTCAAGTCAATTTTTTCCCTTTGTAACGCAACTCCTGAAAGCGCTGTCAACGTCAGAAGGCAGAGAAAGCGCACTGAAAGCGATTTATACATCTTTTTTGTGAGAAATGGGGAAGAAGAAAAAGGACAAAAAGAAATCCTGTGACAGAGTAAGGTATGTAAGTACTTCCTTGACTTACTCCTGGCAAGGGTCCTAGCCTAGAGTTTCGGCCGATCAAACATAACACCGCCAGGACAACAGACAAACCGATTCATTGAAAGCGGAATTTACTGTATAGGTCCCGATTGCCTCATCGCCTCAAGCAAGTCAGAAGGCGACTATAAATCGAGGTTCGTATTTCTTGACCAGTAACTTAACTCTTAAAGTACTTAAATAATTAGAATGGACGTCAAAAGTAGAATACAAAAGTACAATGAATTCGTGCGCTTTGTTGCAAAATAAATGCGTTCTGGCAATTTAATAAAGTCTACTCTAACTGCATGGAGTTTTAAGGTTATCTCGAACTCTGATGAGAAACCGAGATCGGTTCACCTACCAGTACTAGTATTGGGCCGGGAAAGTAAAGGACACATTCCATTACTGTTGATAAACGTTTGTATGATAAATAGTCTTAAATTACAGTGTAGAATTAGTGAAAATAAGTGGAACACCAAAGACTTACCTCGGTGAAATAAAAGTAACAAAAACCTTTATAGTTTATTTTCTTTAGTTTTTTTTTATAAAATAAACGGTTGAATTGGTGAAAGGAATATTGCATTCTATGTACAAGTAGCAGAGTCTGCAGGAATTTAACATATTTTCATTTAAAATAATTACTTATAGCACTCAGCATGAAGGGCACCAGTAAGGGGCCCACTATTTGATTTTTGAGCTGGGGATGGGTTATTTTTTTCTTGCAAGATTTTTTCAGACCTCATTCGTGCAGTGGCTATTTTGTTTTGCACAAAATTTACAGACTTTAGTGACAATATTGATCTACAAGAATTTTTTCGGCCCTTTGGGCTTTTCGGCCTGGGCTTATGTAATGGTTGGCCCCGAAAGGTATCATCACGTTAGATTTAAAGCCTGAATTTCTTAGTGGAGTGAGAACACCCGCTCCGAACGACTACGCATTCCTGCGGCCCAGCTGCTTTTTAGAATCAATAGAGAGATTCTACCAATCCTCTTTATCTTTTATACCGGTCCTCAAAGCCATTACACACAGAGAAAGCTGGGTCCAAAGGCACCGGAATGGCTTTGAAAGTCGCACGGGAAGAGTAAACCTTAAGGAAGATATGGACGAGGAAACGAGCGCGGAGGGGAAAGGAACGACAAAGGAAGGCATTGCAGAGCTTTGCGAAAGAATTCGGACGGGATGTACGACAGCAACGAACGAGAGGGAAGACCAAAGAAAGAGCTGGTACACTTCCACTTGCTCTGAGTATGTTCAGAAGGAATGTGTCGGCATATGGAGAAGTCGATCTGCTGAAAGAGGTTCAAGGGAGTGAAGGAGAAACTACAGTTCAAGACGCAGCCGAAGAATTTGAGATTATCTGTTCTAAAGGCGACGCAGTTGCTCTCAAGCACAATTACAAGAGGTATATCATCCTTTCTTCCTTGCAGTTCTTTTAAAAGATTTCCACCATAACGCAGGGTGACGCATTCCTGGAAGATCACATGGGTTTGAGATGGCTGGAACAGTTACAAGAAGATCCCCTTGTATACCAGACTGGGTACCGTGATGATAGAAATTCACTTAAGTGTATCATCGGGAAAGTTCAAATAATAAAAGATGGAAACAACTTCTGTTTGAGCTGCCTTGAAGAGTAACGCCTAGCTGCATTGCTCCAGGGGTCAGTTGAATCAGATGATTCACCTGCGTCAGGTGGTGACGAAGGGGAAAGGGAACAAGCTCAGGTGGACAACTTTTCAGAGCCTATTAGATTTGAAGCTGGAAGGAGCTAGGTCTGGAAGACCTACAACCAGATATGTCCTCTGACTATTTACAATGGTTATTAAGCCAGGAAAAGCCATTAATGGGTTTGACACAGAAAAGCTGTTAAACTGTAGAACGAGTGGCTTGCGTCATTTAAGTTTCTACTTCACGTAAAGCAGGTATTTTGCTATTGGTAATTGATTGTGATCCTCACTGTAACACACACAGAGTGAAAGAGGAAATTCACATAAGACTACAAGATCAACAGGGATAGCAGAATACAAAGCTCTGATAGAACCTACAACTTGCACTAAAAATTAAAGTTAATGTTTTTCTCATCAGCCCATTTGAGCATGTTCTATATTCTACATTTGGGGATAAACAAAGTTGCTTAACTTAAAATTTTGTGTAAAAACATGGATGGGATCAATTCTTTTATCAGGGCTCAGGGATCAAAATAACGGCAAGAAAATAGGGATCAATGGGTCCCGGATATACCATGTTACGACCCTGATATTTTGTTTGAACTAAATATAAAATTATCGAGAGCTTCGCTTTTATCCCTGGCTAAATCTATATATTAGTGTTGAGGTCGCTAGCATACACAGGGCTGTTAATAAGGGCCGGTAGCCGGCCAAAACGGCCTGCTAGTTAGCCATCTTTGGCCGGCTACTTTCATCTCCTTCTACCATAACTGCTAGAGTATGACTCTCTTGCCCTCTCCTGTGGGCAGGGGAGTCATGTCAAATGCTCCCTTCTCTCGTACCTTGCATTCCCGGCTCCAACCGCCTTTTTAGCTTCCTCCCTTTAGCCGTTTTTTTCGATTAAAAAATATAAAGCATTACTGCATAGTTCCTCCCTATTTCTCCTGCTTCCCACACTTATAGAACTCCCAACTCCCGCCCTTTCCTCTCTCGCCTCCCCTACCTCTCCCTCCCCAAGCAATGAAGCTCTTGATAAGGGGGGTTGTGGCTGTAGATCATGTGAGTCAAAGCAACACCTTACCATGCACGTCAACATAGTATGAATGGTTGATCCATCCAAGATGGTTACTGACGTTACAGGTGTATCTTCCAGTATCTGACGGTACCACGTCTTTTAAAACGCAACACATACTTTCCATCCAAGTATGGCAAACGTCCTCTTCTCTCGTTAAAGGGTTTTCTGTTCTTGTACCATGCTATCGTGGGGTGAGGATATCCTTTCGCGGAACAGTCAGGTTTTTACTGAGTTACCGACCGGTAGGGCTAACAGTTTTTTTTGTAGCTTGCGTTTTGACACAATAAACCTCGGGGCCGCTATAAAGAAGAAAGCGAATGGTGTTTGTGTTAAAAGAAAAACCATTGCCTGCTTGTTAAGCTATAAGGAAGTGCCCTACTCGTTGCTATTCTTACCTGATGTTAAATTCCTGTTCACTGTAGGTGTAGGCAGCACTTTAAACAACAACAACAATCAAACAAAAAAGAATAATCATAGTCAGAAACTTTAAAACAATTTCAAAGAGTCAAAAGCGACTAACAAAACTGCCATCACAATACAAGAACCGAGGAAAGCAGCGGGAAACGTAAGATCTCGTCTGTATTTTAATTACAACAACAACAACTCCAACATTTTGTTGGACAAATTACAACGTACCAAAAATACCGAGAGTTGCTTGCGTCTGAGAGCTAATAGATTCGCACCTGTATATATGGCTGCGGGGAAGAGGGGAGATCGTAGGCTTTGCCTCGTCTTTGCCAACAGTGTGGCATATGCGAGTTCAAATGTCATATTTCATTTAAGGTTTATCGGTATTCATCATGCCTTCCCAACAGTGAGTCACAAAAAGTATATGCCAATGAGGCATAAGCTAAGCCAAAACTTACAGTGCGGGGGCTTTCCATTCAACCCAAATTTCCGGACATTTCGGTTTGGTTCGACCGGAATATTGGGGACCAGCTTTGAAGGTGAACCTCTTTGACCTTTCAGGTCATTTCGGTCGGTCGGACCGAAATGTCCCTTTCCATTTGACAAAATTGTTGTCCCCTGTACCGCTCTGTGGCATCCTGTTGACAAGAACAATAACCAAACGCTCGGTGGCTTGGTTCGGGTCTTTGGGACCGGAATGTACCGTTCCATCGGGCAAGCGGAATTTCCGAAATTTCAAACCGGAATTTTTGTTGAATGGAAAGCGACCTGCGACTACACTCTAACCGGGGCCACTTAGACAAAGTTGACCGATTGGATTGCAGGAAAATAACAATACATTCCGAGAAAGTTAGTTGTCAGCCATAATTACCAGGAAACGAAATAAACAACATGGACCGAAATCAACCAGTCACAACCTACAGACAAGAAGAACTTTTGAACGCGCTGAACAAAGCCGGTGTCTCCTGAGAGGTCCGTTAGAGTGATGAGGGAGGCGAAAAGCGTAAACGTTACTAATAATTTGGCTTGACGTCGCATGTTATTTTAAAGCGCGGCAATGGTAGGGGAAGAAATTGCTGGTAGATCTCTAAATAACAGCTTGTGTCAAACAAGTAATGTCTTCTAAGTGCTGGGGGCGCAGTCTGGTTAAAAGCGTTATTTTTGGTTGATTTCTACCCTTTCTCTTAACATTAAATATCTAGCCAAGATTTAATTCCATCAAAAAGTGACTTAATTAAGTTACAGTCCTTAGTTCAATAATTATTTGTGAATATTTGGATGATTTTTCGAATGTTTCTAATGTCTAAAATTCAGAGGAGGGGGGGGGGGGAATGTTTGAAATTTCGAGAAAAAGGGAAGATATTGGATTTGGGGGTTGTTAGAAATTGAAATATGAAGTAAATAATTAGTAGCAGACAATTACCAGATAGTCCGCCACCTCAACAAGTTGCCTCTGATCCCATTAGCGGACTAACTGGTTTATGTGTATGCCTATTCTACCCTCATATATTTCCTTTCCAAATCAACATCATTTCCCCAAATTTTAACCAGTCCCCCCCTAAAATAGTAAATTTACGAATAGAAAAACATTGTCTGGGGAAAACAGTTTGCTTTCTTGAAAAACGTTTGCTATGAATATTTCTTCGAGTAACTTATTGTTTTTACGAACTGCTAATTGGCCAACAAACAACATTCTTGAAATGTATTGCCATTTTTCTGTAATCCATTTGGTCAACTAAGTCTAAGTGCCCGGTTTATAGTCACACTGTAAAGTAAGCTGGCTCACCTGATTGACATAAATATGCCCTGATAACCTGGACTGAATAATGAGAACAACAAGAATACCCTGTCATTCCCCCCACCAAAAGGAAAAATACTTCATGATAAGGTGGCTGATAAAAGTAAGAAGTTAGCTAACACATTATTAGCAAAAAATATCATGATGCCGATATTTGTAATAAAAGAAATAACTTGAACTTTCCTCAAAATCCGCAAAATAGAGGTTATCCTGACAGAAAATTTGATATGTGTATATATTTTTAAAGAGAAAAGCAGATTTTGAAAAATAGGCTGTCAAAATTCGGTTGCTATGTTAACATCAATTTTGACGTATACGTCGACGACTTTAAAATGTTCTCAGATAAATTTGAGGAAAAACTCACTGAGTTTGGCGGTCCTTAACTTGAACGGTTTTGAAGTTATTCAAATTTAAGCGAGGGTGTCCTCTAAGCGCTCCCCACCAACGGGTTTGAATAGGGTTTTGGGTACACAACATGCTGTACTTACATTCTCGGATATACAGGCGAATGTGAACAACGTTCCACCGTCCACACTTGTTCAGAACAATACACGAGTAAAGACCAGCGTCGTCTCTCTTGACATTCTTTATCTTTAACCATCGCCGCTCGATAGTCACTTGTTTATGGTCGGCTGCTCAGGTGTTTTTTGTCCTTCTCCCACTGCACTTGGTACACTTCTCGACCTTTTCGTCGGATGTTACAGGGAAAACTTACATCTGACTTTTCGATAGCATAAAAGAACCATTGGTATTTGGCTTCACACGGAGTTTCAGGAACTGAAAAGACAATTTCCTCAAGTAACCGGCCTGGTATCGTAAACGTGGCGCTAGCTGCAACGGCGTGAGGGGTGAGAACTGTTTTAGTGCATGTGAATTCATTCGTAGCAAACTCGTATAGCAGTCGTCGCATTCGCCCTCTCATGCTAATAAATATTATCAGTTTTCACAAGAACGTTTTTGCTCACAACTTCACTTTGAAAACTGATAGTTTTACGAACCATGAAATGGCCTATTGATACTTGACGTTGAAAAAAAAACAACAACAACAACAACAAAACTTCCAATGAACAATGCAACGGCTAAACGCCAATCAAGGCTAAAAAATGATCACTCCCTTAACCCTTTGCTGCACTAATCAAGATAGCTGATATGCCGACTCCAAGAAAGTTAATATCTGACGTTTGAGAGACATGGGAACGAATTAGTAAAAACTAATATTCTGACGGCACGGTTAAGAAGTGCGCTGGTGTTTGTATTTCTCCTCGCTTCTCGCCATTCACAGGCTGATTATTGTGTCCAAACAACTGAATAAAATCGTTGAATTAAATAAATATGAGTCTCGTTTACTGTGTTTGTTCAATCCATTTTCCACTTTCACCATCTGGCAGGTTCCTTTTGTTGTTTTGGAACTGAAGGGCCTTCTCTGATATGAAAGCCGGGTTTTCATCAATCGTATCTCCAAGGTAAACCCACATGTTCGCCAGCACTTCCTAACCGACGGTTACTGCTAGTTTAGTAAAGTTTATTTTCCAGTGGATTTCATATTCTTTCGAGTTCGGAATAACCGTGTTTGGGTACTGGTTTAGGCATTTAGGCATTTGATCCTGCGCTCCTTTGGAATTAGTTCTTTTTGGACTGGCCTATATTGTAATAAAGTATTTCGCCTTCTATGTTTTGGCTTCAGCCCTTTCCCCGGGGTTCCGTACCACTACATTAGTACATACGTTTTCACAGATTTTCTGACCACCTCTCAAGGGTGGTTTTTAGTGGTTCTTTCGTATCTGGCGTGTCACATGTTCTAGCTTAGAACATATGATAGTGTTTTGCTACAGCTATGGCATTGGTGTAACTTAACTTGGATACACCCAATGGTATCGGATGGCTGACTGAAGCATCCTAAACAAACTTTTCACTTTGTATGTCTCTTGTTAGTGAAGTCAGAATCCATATCGAATGAAGATGGAGCTTTTGTTTACACATAAACACGGGGATTTCGGCTACACTGCGTTGTTCTTTAAAACGGGTCGACACATCAGATAGGTTTTTGCGCCACATTTCTTAGGCAATGAACAGGGGTTCTCACAGGCCGGTGTATTTTTCATAACGACAAGCTAGTAATACAAGGCAAATGGCAAGCAGCAATGCATATCTCTTGGAAGAATAAACTTAAAGAAGAAATTTGTACTTGTTTCTATTCATAATATCATGAGCGATAAATTACTTCTTAATTTTGGCGCGAAAATTCAGCGTTAATTAGTATTATAATTTCACATGTAAAATAACAAAATTGCCATGGCAACCTTCCGTACGCCTCAGTGCCAAGATGGCGACAAAGTTTTAAACTGTTATAAAATCAATGAAGATGCCAGGGCATTTTAAGACGCTTTAGAAAACCTAATCACACGAAAGAGCACATTAAAGGATATTCTAACAGGTATTTTTTCGAAAAAGTCTGAAAATTCTGAACTTAAGCCAAATTTGAACTGTGAACTTTTGAGTGTGTGGAGTTCTTGATCCACACGATAAATCAGGATTAACATGACAAAATTTCACGATTGCGAACGTAATTCATCACCCATGATATTAATAGGTAATCAAATGACACACTTGTGAAAATATACCCTAATTTCACACGTCTCCATTACGCACTCTAGCTACTTATCAATTTACTCTTATGTAAGTTGATAACTTGTCGATGTCAAGCGGGTTATCAAAATGTTTTTATTTAAAGGAAATCAGACAAGTCGTTTTTAAACTGAGCACCAAAGATATGGAAAATAGAATTAAAGTCTCTAAAAAATGACTTATGAGAGAGATTTTCATGTTTAGAAGACACGTCCATCTTTCTTTTAAGGTCATTATTTTCAACAAGGACTTTCTGATACACTTCAATGACCTGGAAAAGAGAGGTGTATTAA